ATGTCTGACCTGCATTGACCTCGCGCACAGTTGTAAATATCAAGTGAATCATCTCCAAGCGCTGTACGTATAGCCACGTATGACGTGAAGCGAAATAGAATGTAGTCATAGTCATTTCTCTTCCAATGGCATCAACTATTTATGCGGAAATCGCTCGTTTTTACGTGGAAACCTGTTAAATCTATACAAAGTGATACGTTTTTCGTAGATAGGCTAAAAGGTTGCATCTTTACGAAGTTACATATAAAAATATCAAAGCAAGGTAGCTAAGTTCAAGTTCAAGCCAGGTAAGCAAACGGTTGTAAAAAACGCGAAAATCCTCAAAAAACAAAGCACAGTTGAACTCTGTAGACAAAATTAATTGACAACCTGTTAGTTGTTTTTGTGTGCTCACCGGTGAAAATCGACTCTTTCACGATTGTCGCTTTTTCTGTAATTTTTGTCTGTTCTGCAACTTAATGCCGAACTGGGTTTGGCATTTTTTTGCCTCTGTGTGCTAATAATTGACTGTAAAATATGCCTTTACCCAAAATTTTAGTTTTGAATTAAAAGTTTTTTTGACAGATTTCTCACTCTTCGCAAGATTCAAAATGGCATATTATAAGGGCACGGCATGAAAAAATCTGGGACATCGTGATTCTATGTATGATTACGCATTCTATGTCTATTATTTCTATGGTAAAGTCCAATTATGTTCGCACATACGAGGGCCGGAGAATATCATCGAGTCTGCGATACAAACAATATATCCACCACAGATCCAGCTAATCTGAGATAATGACGTCATGACAAACCGAGTTATCACGCGACTGGAGTAATTAATTGTTTTAAAGGGCAAAGAGTTTAAATTCTAATTTACAGTTGGCAAAAAAGTTGTTTCCGCTTAAAAATGATAGAATTACTTAAAATTTTCCAGTGCCGAAGATATACTGTATATATATTTATATAGGCTATACAGTATATAGCTACGTACCAGCTATATAAACCATGTCACTTAATTGTTTTTGACTCAACGTTTAAAGTTAAATGCATGCCTTTATGCATGTTTGAATACTTAGTTTCACACGGAGGTTTAGATTCTGAGAACAATCACACATACATTGAATTATAGTCTATGCGCGTAGGTTGCTGTCAGACTTGTTTAAAAAATAATGCTCTTATGCCTCCCTCGTATAGTCATGCAGTTGGTAGCGAGCTGCGATCGCGAGCACGAATATCATACTCATTATACTGGCGAAAAAAATGCATATTATGATTCAGTCACAACTGGCGAGTCTAAACCAATAACTATGAATATGAAGGTTATACCTAGGGTTTCTATTGAGTTTTAGTGGATTCCAAATATTACAATCTTGATCGACGTACGATCAATCCCAGTTTTTTAATCCAGCAAGTCTGCAGCACTTAACTTGTTTTAAGGAAGCACATGTGGTCTTACATTTCAAGCTGTCACAGCGGGATGCATCACAAATTTGTTCCTTTAATTTTAAAGTTCAATCTTTATTAATAATAATACCTTTTGTAAAAAATATATACGAAATGCGTACATGTAGGTAGCCTCTAAAGCATGCATTGGCTGCTATAAAGCGATGCGTTGGCAAAGATCTTCAAGTTGTGTTCAATATCAAACGATCAGGCTGCAATAATGGCGCGGAAATATCAACTGATGCTTAGTTTGACGTTCTAATCCCAGATGGAAAGGCAAAAATGAGCTAGTTAGCTAGTTGGATACAGTTAACTAGCCAAGATGACAAAGTAAAACAAAACCATTTAACAATATTTTTCATTATATTAAATACATTTTAACGACAGAATACATTTCAACGACAGAAATATATATATAAAAGTATATTTACAAAAGATAGGAAATGCATATTTTTAAGAACAACATTAGCTGGAGATATTTGTATGATTTCATAAATTCAGCAGGAATGTATAGGTAGTTTGCAATGTTGAGTACCGATATCTTATCAGCGTAAATTTCTTGGAGATAATAGCACCTGTTCATGGATCCAATAAGACAACGTGGCTTAGTTTCATTGACAATAATTTCTTAGCGTTGTAATCAGTTAACATTGAATGCCATCATTCATCACTAATATAAACGCGTATTGTTGAGTGGTAGTTACCAGTGATCTATAGTAGTTGTATTCTAAGTCTAAAGCTAAAAGCACAGTGACATTTCGTCGACTGTACGTAAGTTTAAACTTCGCTGTTGTGAACCCAACACAATAAAAATTTGATTTATGTTACAACGCCAATCGAGCACGTCAAAAGCCACCGTTGTGAATACAGTGAACTCAAATAAGACTGGAACGCTCACTCTGTCGGAAGTTTAAAGCCAAGATGGTGGACACTGAAGCCTTTCTTGTAGGTATGATCCAGGCCTCCACGCGGTAAAATGGCGGCAAATATGATTTTACCTTAAGAATAATCAATGAAATAGCTACCATTTCTGGGAATAATTTATCTGAAAGTTTATACCGATCAGGCTGAAAAAAAAATCGGCTCTGCCCAGTCTCTTTCGTAGATAAACAAATTCGGCGGACAGACATGCATCTTCGCTCATCGTTTTTTGCGTATCAGCCCGCGAACGGGCTACCCACAAAAATTCGAGAAAGCATTTCCCGTAACGCATATAGTTTATAATTTATTATGGAATTTTGTTTCACGTATGCATGCCTGAGCAGTTCTACGGGAGTAGGCAATACTCGAGGCAATAAACGCTGTCAGTGGCAATAATGCATTTTCTACACGACTATGCATGTCTACATGTTGATTATAATTATTCATTGTTTTTCCATCAATGCGATATAAACATGATGAACCTATCCGATTAGCCCCCGTTTGTTTTTCTTCTCTGCATGGGACCGTTTTGAGGCACAAACGGAATTGAATCCTGGAACGGGGGCAGTTGCGAAAGTTCATTTTAGCTATAATCAGTTGTCTTGTTTTTCTTGCGGAGATTGAACCTTTGACCTTGCGCTTTAGGTAAAGCCCCACAGCAAACTGAACTGCAAAGCCGAGTTGCTAAATGCTGAACGTCATTTGTTGATATCTAATAGGGTTCTGGAAAGGAGGTAAATATCTAGTTTTTGAAGAGAATCTTGTTCGCCAGAGAACTATGTAACACTTGAATAAGTTTCTATTTTTCCCAACTGCTCCTTGTTGAAGTTCTGTGCGTTGCTCAGAGCATGTTCTCGAACTGCCTCGAATTTTTTTTCGCCAGGATTAGGATTATAAGCTGTTGAAATTGCGTTGTTTCAAATCTGATTAGCAAGGAAAAACGATAGTGTGTAAAAGGTGTGCTGTGACTGTATAATTATTCCTGATTCAACTTTGAACGGCCCAGTTTGTAAACACGGGCAAAATGATCAAATGTTAACAGTTTGAAGAAATGAAACTCTGTGTGATTTCTACGCGCTGAATTCGAATTAGGTAGTAGAGCGGTGGAACCACTTTTTCTCTCTGTCTGTATACATGTTTATACATGTGGATTCCCGTCTAATTTTAAAAATTTGACAAAAAAATTCCACTCCCCGCGTAATCGAAATTAATAGACTTTATGTATAGGAGCAATGCACGTGAACTTTCCACAACTCTTGATATTAAAATAAGAGTACAACTGATACCTGCTATCCAATTAACTGCGTTCGTAATACGTTTTACCTGTAAGCTACTGAGTTATAAGTACACTTCAGGCCTTCAAATGATTATACAACAATTAAAGGTATAAAAAATATCGGTACGTCATGGAGGCCTTACCTTTGCAACACATCTGAAACCCTTATCTCTGAAATGACGGCAAAGTCGGCTGGAAATATAATGGCCATACAAATTTGCGATTATTCTCACTTCCGAAAATGCTGGAATACTTTTGTAGATTTTTCTAAGCTTTCAAACTATACCAAAACATTGAAAGTTCCCACGTTTGTTATTGAGAAGTAACAACCGAAATCCCACTCACTACCCCAACGTCCATATGACTTTTTGCAAGGACGGCGGCTCACTGGGCCAGCAGCGGCCAACCTACACAGATCAGTGGGCGAACCTAACTAAAGTTTTTTTGTCATTTTTTACATGCGTGTGACGTACCACGTACACGACCCAGACGATGCAGACCACGTCTTGGGCATGCGTTGGGTACAAACGCCAGCTGTCAGAGATTTAGAATGTATGTTTATTTTTGTTGAAAGATATAAAAATGAGACCATAAGGTCGATTACCTAGATTGTCAGATAAGAGCCTCAGAAAAGACTCCAAACTTCTAAATATACCATTAAATACCCTAAACTTTGGCACCGATTTTCGTACATAATCCCCCAAATTTAAATTGATACCCAAGTTTGCACCACTCTTGCACCCGGCTGGACTAAGCTTGAGGGGTTGCGCACCCCTCCAGCCAGTAAATCCATCCCTTTAGCATGTACTGCATAGTACAGAACAATCGGCAACCTTTGGAGTCACCGCATCATTTTTGTGATTCGTGTTTGTTTCATTTTCGGACCAAACCTTCCCTCGATGGTGTATTTAGGGCCTCTTAGGGAATTTCGAATGGGCGGCAAGGGGCTTGCCAAAAAGGGACCTCGACGCCATGTTATCTACTTTCCCGTGATAAATAATTTACTACCAGAACGAGGTGGACGACGCCTGGTAGGTGTTAACTCGGGCTGTAAATACATTGCACTGAAACTGAGCTATATTGATACACTGTAAATAAGGCGACTGTCCGCGCGGAAGACTAAGCCTGCGACAAAAAAAATTAATCGCGAAACTTAGACTCGGCTACCACAGTATAGCCCGAGTAATAATAAAATACTATATTTGCTGAAATAGCATGGCACCGCTGTTTATACCGGGGCAGTGACTACCTATTTGAGTAGTCCCGGTGAGTTTACACGACAAAAATTAATTATGTTCCTCAAGCCCAATTGTGGTCCGTGCCAAAAATTCATGTCGTATGATTAATTATCCTTGAACAATTACACGTCAACAACCAGTGATCTTATAAAAATCTATTGCAGTTACATATTAGTTAAGTTACAATTCGTCAAATTCTAAAATATTTTAATACACATTTCTAAAACAATTTAGTCCGCAATAATTAATTCTTGTCGGAAGAAAAAAGTTTATCGTTCAAAAATGTTATGATTATACTCTTAGGTATAACGACATGCAAGAATTATCATGGTACCTGCGTGAAAACATATGAAGTAAGAACACTACATTGTCGTTACGATAATAAATAATTTTCCTGCAATTTGCGTACTTCTAATTACATCGTGAACGCACGAAAATTGTCGTATCATTAATAGAGAAGGAAGATAACAGTAACTCAGTAAGTGCGCCTATTGCGATGCATCACCCTATATTTGTGCATAATCTTAGTGAAACCACATTACTGGGTGTATTGAAGGTGATACTAATTTCAGATTATTTTCAGATAATTTTCCAAAACGAATTCGTCAACAAAATATCTTGTGCAGTAGCATATGTCGCATTTAGTAACCTACGAACCGAGGTTTTCAAAACACCATTATGTGGACTAATAATTCGGCATATATAGTAGCATATGTATAGCTAACATTAAAAGTTATAAAGCTAGTAGTGTTTTTAGACAGATATGCAAAAAACACCGTAAACGATCTAGTTGTATAGTTAAGCAAAGATTATGAAATCGAGCGGCAGTTCACGGATACACGAGGCCATTGTAGTTTAAATTTTATCCTTTCAATTGCTGTTGCTGCCTGGTGCGCCTTCGCACAATTTCGTTGATGTACGCTTTCATCAGCTTTGCTATTTCCACCACCTGAGAAGTTAAAATACAAACACATTACCAACTAATTAGCCAAGAGAGAAAGATTTTTAGGAGCGAATTTGCCTCTTTTAGTCATGGGGTGTAAAAAGAATAGAACATTCAACGTTGAAATGCATGGAAAGTACTATCCATGTCATAGATGAAATCAGATCTAATTTCCCTATGATGCATATTATGCATGTAAAATGAGGGACCGACTTGCAACAAATGTAGCTTCTATATTTCCTTATATAAAGCGTTTACAGAGTGTATAATTTGTTACTTATATATATATTCAGATCTGCCTTGTAATCTATCCAGTGAACTCCATGTGCACTGGAACGATAACTCCGCCGCCATCTTTGAAGCCGAAATGAGTAACAGTGCCAATCCCTTTCTACTGTTTTGGTCGTCACGGTCGACGATCGCGCCGACAAAAACAATAGAAAGAGACTGGTACTGGTACACATTTCGGCTTCAAAAATGGCGGCCAAATAACCATCAGTTATCGTTGCAGAGTTTATAGAGTTCGCTGAAACTATTTCACTCATAAAAGAAATCCATCAGACAGAACTGAATATATGAGTAAACACCCCTCCCCCAATTATCGTTTTAGTTACGCCCATACTCCATATTCGTACCTGACTTGTTTCAAATACCATTTCCCCTTTTTCCTCAGCAACAATTTTGTACACGTTGCCTTTTGGAGCACCGAATGTCAAGATGCTGTAAAAAGAAGGCGATAATAAAAACGATTTGGGAAGTTAGCAGAATTTTGAAGCACAGAAGGAGCGCCTACGACGTCCAAATGACATGCTGCTATACATACAGATATTTTGAGTTGTTGCCCCAAATTAAATAAGATCGAGTGAAAGTGATAAGCAAAATCGAAAGGATGGTAGAATGAAGATTAAATCTAACTCCTGGAATTGACTTTGTGCAAAGTAACATAAACAAAGAAACTGAGCATATCAAGAATAAACCGTCAGCCTGGCTTAGTCTACGTCGTAGCCTATGAATCCCCAGTTATAAGTCGGATATGTAGGCTAGCCTGGCTACATTACTGAGATGTATTACTTACTATTCATATTCACACGTCATTATTGCTCTGGATTCGTATCGTTTATAAATCGCGATTCCATCTAGACTGACTCCAAGCCATAGTTCCGGAGGGAAGTTGGCATTTGTTGACTGAAGAAGAGAAAGTTAAGAACATCATGTCATTGTAAAATTAAAGTTCAAAATAACAGGACTGGCTTACTGGCAATATAATGCTGCAAAATTGTCATTAGTACGCGTGAATGAGCAAGAATATGCACTGACATATTATAATGCTATCCAAAAAAAACGATGTTACGTCGTTCCTTGATAAAAAGGGGAAGGAAGCCCAAAGAACGATTTTTCATTGAAGCATTTACCTTTACATCAAACAAGGTTGAGGTATAACCAGGCCACTTCTGTAAGATTTCAATGTATTGTTCTTGAGCTTCTTGACATGTCATTCCCTGCGAAAGAAATGAGGTTTTCATCAGTCGAATGTTTCCTAAATATAGTAAAAGCACAAACGGCAAAATGGGAGTCATTCAGGCCTTGTTTGCATGCTATACCGGATTCGCATGGTCTCGGCATCAAAATTAGCCATGTTAAAGCGAGTTTTACTCCTAAAAGTATGATAGCATCATTGTTTTAACATGATCTACAGAATGAAAAAGTTCTGTGGAGAAAGATACTGTAAAATAACTTAAAACGATTTCGTGACCATGCGAATCCGGTATAGTGTAAACGGGGTCTAAATCACAGCTGCTTACCTAGCTTGATAACGTGGGGGCCTATATTCATACATTCATTTCACACGTCACAAACACATCAATAATTTTAAAAACAAATCGACAGTGCAGACTAGAGGACACGAATATATAAATATGACACTTTCTTTGAAATTTTTATAGAGATTTGCCGGAAGTATAGTTCAATATTACAATAACGAACCTTGTTTCCTTTCCAGTAATCACAAATGGAACTCTTTATAAATGATGACTCCGCTTTTTGTTCAGCTTCTTCGATAGCTTTTTCCTCTTGTTCTTCGCTTAAACCTGGATAGTATTAAAAAAAACAATTGACAAATGATTAAATATCAAATATTAATGTATTGAATCTTCTCAATTCACTGAATAATATGTTATGCGACATGTTAAGATGTTTAGATACGTCCTTGCTGCTGCAAACAAAGCACCTAACTATCTCTTTGGAAACGCGGTTTTCCACCAAGCTGAATATTTTCGATCGGAAAATGATTTTCTTTTTGACCGTCAAGAGAATCCGCTACGATCGAATTCTAAAGTGCATCGTCTGATCGTCATGGAAATTCGAGAAGGCAAACTTCTTTGTAAAGAAAAGGCTGTATTTTGCGCAGATTTTGCTCGTTAATGTTTCAACAGTAATCTGTATTGCTGAGTGCAATATTTGCCAAGATGGGATCACCGGTCACGCCCCATGGTGCAAAAAGATCACGTGGACAAGTTTGCATAAAAGTAAACAAAAAGATAGAACAAAGATTTCCCCAGGCTCCAAGAAAATAGTTTATAAAAGAGAATGTCTTTTTATATCAAATAGCAAACAAACATTGAAAAGTAGCACACATTAAAGTCACAAAGAAAAGTATACACGTGGGATTATTTAACATAAAATCTCGAAATTTTGTTACCCTTACAACTACTTATTCAAAAATATATATATATACAGCACAGAAATTATAGGAGTAATCAACTATAAAACGTAACACTGACAGTACTTTGCAAACAATATTATCAGCAGTCAACGACAATCGTCACGATGGGCCAGTGGAAGGACTACTCGGATATTGAATGCTAACTCGACGCCTTATGGTGGTCAAAAGTCGACGCATTTCTTCCAGTTTTTCTTTCATGGCTGTGTTATTTGTTGGGTACGTTTTAACCACGGCCACGTTTCTGAAGAGAAGGCTGTTCTTAGGTTGAACAGGTGGCTGTTTCGCGCTGTCGTTGACTTCTTTTTTGACTTTGTTTTCTTGAGGAAAATCCTGATCAATTGTTTCAGATTCTTGGTTTTCCAGATCATCTATAGCATAAAATCGTGGTCTTGCAACACGTAAAAGCTGCAAAAGAAATACATTACAATTGTCGGTGGTCATTGTTGCATAAAATGCTTTATCGAAAGAAACGACCAACTATCACTATGGATCGTACAGTACGGATATATATACCAAGTTATAAGCAGTAACATGCAGTGGTTGAAAAATTCTGTGTTTCGTGCCATCTATAAAAAAAACGTACCGAGCGCACATTCAATTGACGAAAGTCACCTTGAGTCGTCTCTTCATTTTCGTCGCTTGAAAAGGATTTTTCCGATATTACGTGCTCCACGTCTTCAGCGTTTTTACTTTGACCACTGTCACTTGCACTTGAAAGTTCGGTTAGTGATAACCCCACTGTGGGTGAAAACGGGACTCTTTCAGTCTTTGTATACAGCCATTTCATACATTTTTTGAATGCGGTTTTCAATGAAGATTCTGAGGTCTTCACAAGTTGATGCAAAATACACACAATTTTGCAGAGAACGTATACCAGGCACGTCACATAGAGACTGAAACATAAAGGACCAATCAAAACGGGGAAAAACACCAGTGCTACGAGGAGTCCACAAGCGAAACCCAGCGATATAATCATGCCAAGGGGAGCAGCGGCGAGTCCAACAAGAATGTATATGAAAACGCGAGAATACGACGTCCTATTAAACAAGGTCTGCACCCAATATGTGAAAAAATTGGCATGTGAATTTTCTTCACTGAAAAAGAAGATAAATTTATTTGAATGAGACAATTTCACGGCAATGATTATAATTCCAGATACACAAATCACAATACGTACAAAATGGTGAAATATTTTTAAATTCACCTTCAAACAATCGACTCGAAGAATGTATAGTATATCAATATAGAAATGCATACAATAGTGACGAAACATACCTGTTTTCCGATCCGATATTTCTCTTGTTCTTTTTATCGCCTTTCTTCCCCATACCACAACGTATTTCAAAAAAACGTCACAGCACGTCGTGTATCTGTGACGTCACACTAATTGCCCGCATACGCCAGTTTACAATGTCGCGTCCAATCACTGAGCTGCGATAAAAGCGCGCGCACACGATATGTATGTAGTACACGAAATATATGTTCAACGAGAACGAAAAAATTTCTTTACGCAGGCATATTCTTGGGCGTGTTTTATCTTATGACCCAGTGGAAATTTTTACTTTATATGTCAGTGCCGCTGCAAATTAGCATACGACAAATCAGTTCTCGCTATATTAAAACTGTACGTATTATAATCTTTTTGTAAACGAAGTTCACTTAATTTAAAGAAGAATTTAGCAAGAAATACAGACTGAGCCGTTTTCTGTTGCCGCGAACACTCAGCGATTTTTGGTGCGATATTCTTCGTTTCCCGGATAAAATGGAGTAAATAGTTATGAATGGTATAACTACATACAAGTGCCTTATTCGAACATCTGTAACATATTCAATCGATCATATCTTTAAAGGAAGAAAACCCTGAACTTATAATCGGAGCAAAAATTGCTCGTGTGAACTGGCCTTTTTATGCATATATTTTATTGAGCGATCTTAAACCGTTGATTTACCTCGACTAACAAGTGGTGATACAACTTTCCTGATTGATCCCTACATTGAAACAAAGAAAATTCCGTTTACTGCGTAATTCAATCGAGCAATATGCAGGGCCCTTTAACAACAATCGTCTATATAACGTGGTTTTATTGGACTAGAAATGAATGAAATACTACTTATGAGCAATTGCACAAAGCCTGTCATTTATTTATATAATACACTGCGCACAAGAAGCCCCATAGAATACATAAGAAATGTGGCTGATATCATTATAGTTAATATATCATTACATACAGGGCGGTGCGACAGTAGACCTTTCATTGATCGACATGTGATTCAGCAGTTGCCTGGCGCGAGTTTTTTTCCTTCTGTGTTTTCACAAAGTTTTTCGATATTTTCGCTCACTTGGAATAAATATATATTAAAAACAATTTTACAGCATGCTCATCTATCACCTGTCAACATACCATGAGAGTCCCGGAAACTTTTTCACGACCCAGGCTGCTTGCTTTCGATACACTTCTATCTCTGAGTCTTTTAATCTTTTCGACAGGAAATACTGACGACATGTTATCGCTGAGAAATACAAGAAGGTATAAACCATATGCATATCGTATTAAAAAAACTTTGTTGTGTAAACTAGCCATTCTAGCTGGCTATTTCATCATGAACTTTTGCATGCATGGTTACACAACACAGAAATGGTGTCTTTTTGCAGTACTTACACCCAAGCTCCTGCTTCGTAGTCTCCTTTTGTATACTGCAAACGTAATGAAGCTAAACGACACAGAATGTTTTCAGCAGCAGGAAACCTCCCTTGCGCGACATTTTCACAAAACTAAAATTAAATAGACAATTGTTGACCAGACAGCACTGCTGTGAGGCAGGGATGAATCCAGTGCTGGGGAGATAGTATAATTTCTTTACATATCCCCCCAAAATTTGAACAGATACCAAAATCTGCACGCTTTTGAACTCCCTCTGGTGATCAAATGCTAATGAATTTAAAGAAATAACTCATTAACATTAATATAGGTTCGGCACATGAAAAGTTCTACGTCTGAATACAGAGCAAAAAATAAGCAACAGAAATGGAGTCGACTTGTAGCATGGGTTGGGTTCATTCAAGTAAAATTAAACAAAACGTCGACCTGTTAGAATCCTTCGTGGAACTTTAGGTCAGCATATACCAACCTGCTCAAATAGGAACATGCCTTCCACCGAATCAGTCGCGACTTCAGAAGGATTGAGAAAACAGAAGATTTTGAAGAACAATTGCCATCTTTGTCCTTTTTCGTGAAGACGCAGTGCTTTGTACCTACAAAATCACATTCGCTCATGAGACGTGACTACAATCTTTTCTACATGCTACTACTGTCAAGGACAATAACAGAAAAGGTAACCGGTAATCCTCTGGTTTGGAATTGGTCATGCACACGATCATAACACAAAATGACTGCAATGAGACTATTTCATGCGTTAACGTAAGTCTCAGCGTTGACCAACCTTTCAAATTTGGCAAGCACGTCAGCGACAACCGTCCGTCCTTCAATGTGTTTTTCTACGGTGCCACATTTTTCGAACAGACCAAACAAGTTGTCATCTTGTGTGATGTTAAGTCCTTTGCATAATTGGCGTACAACCTGAAATTAACAATACGTCTTTCGTGTCGAAATGTCTTTGCGTATTCTGTGTAGTGGGAGAATTGATTATTGAGGTAGACTTCATGTTATACAAACTAGAACATGAGCGAATACGTTAAGGAGGGTGTTTCCACAAAGATTATAATGAATTATTGCAAATATACAAGATCTAAAATAATGCCCCCATTTCAAGCTCAGCAATAGCTAATATTATTTTTTTCCCTATACAGGGTGTCTCAAAAAACACGAAAACCTTTGAAATCACGCATAACAATGTAATTGTTAGAGTTTGAATGACTAAGCACCCTGTTGGCACCCACAGGTGTGCAAATGTCTGCCATAAGCATTTTTATGCATGCATGATGCAGTAAAATTTGCTCGAACGCGAAAATGATATTTATTAACAATATTTAAATGTGCATCTCAATAACCATGACCTTCGACATGTCCCCTTTCTCTAGCAACACAAAGCATTTAGCATTTTACTGAGTTGCATTAAATCCCCACGGGCTAAAATCGTGCACACGGCATTCAAATTTTAACAATGAGTGATTTCAATAGTTTTCGTTTTTTTGAGACACCCTGTAGTTCATCTCTCTCGGTAACGATGTTCGCAATTCACAAACATCAGCTTGACAATAAAAAGATGATGTAAATCTGCTTACAGCTCCAGCAGTCGTGGCAGAATTGATCTCAATTTTACAATAGGCTCCTTCGCCAAAAGTGTACACAATAGTCGCCAGATCACGACGACCCTATAACAAGAGATAGAAATATTTGAATGGTGGAAGATGAGGTCATCCAGTTTAAATAAAGGCCGTTAAACGTTTTTTGCCTACAGCCTGAAATTTGGTCAAAGTAAATTATTCTGAAAATAACGCTGAAATTAACTATAAAATATCATGATTCCCAGGATGCAAAAATAGGCATGATTTGCTGAATTTTACGTATTAGACAACTTTTACACGATATTATTGTCCACTTTTATATGCCGAACACAACTGTCAGTTATTTTTTGTCTGTAAAAATAACTTAACCAAATTGACTTTAATGTAAACGGGACATATTATGTTCCAACCCAATTTCTGGTTCTAAAGGGCCTGATTCTGCGAAAAACATTACGCGTAAAGCAGACTGGTCATTTCTTATTGTTCAACTGCGAACCACAAGACTCGCAGATATTCATAGGCAACATCCATGAGCCAAAAATTGAATGGATAAACATGGTCAATAACTTACCAGACAAGCAATTATTTCAGCTCTAGAGGGGGGAAACTCTCTAAGCACAAAAGCAAAAAAAAACAGGATTATGAGGAATGTTGTATTTTAATCTTAACACCTGTATTCTAAAAGCTCATTCGCATAATTTTGAACGCATTGAGTACGAGATTAAGTAGAATCACACTTTAAGCGATTTCTTTCGGGTGTTTTCACTCGAATAAGAGCTTGATTTTCATGCAATATATGTTTTACTTAAATCATTCTGTTGATCAAGAACCATCCAGTGAACTCTAATAAGACTGGAACGATAACTTGGCCGCCATCTTTGAAGCCAGCACTGATGGCCGCCATGAGGGCCAAGAGTTGAAATTACACCACCAAAACAACGCCGGTTTTTATACACAAATCCATCTCATCTGATCATGAAGAAAAGCTTAAAACAAGCATTGACACTTAGATTTTATTAAAAAACAAGTTTTATGAAGGTGAAAAGGTGCAAACCTATTTTTTTTGCGAGTTGAAGGCGAAGTTTTTTCCGGCCCGTTAAAATTCTTTAAATATTTCAAGTAGAAAGCTGGTACCTCGCCGGTTTTTACAGTAAGATGATGCGGATTACTTAGGTCTATCCAAAAAGGGTAAATTCGTTGTTTAAAGTTGAAGTGGTCAAATAAAAATTGCACTTTTCTGTCAATTTTTTGCCAAAAAATACGATTTTTGCGGAATTCTCACTCTCTCCAGTTCTTTTAAAGGCTTGATTTGCTCGCGCGGCTTCCGCCTTAATCAGCAAATTATATTCAAATCGCCTTTATCCAATGACTAGTCTTTATTGTTGAGTTATCGTTCCAGTCTTATTAGAGTTCACTGGAACTATCTCAATCAACAACTGTAATAACACAATTTCAATGTCACACTCAATAAGTTTAAGTGTCTCTTGTTGTAAATATTTGAAATGGCATCGGGTAGATACAAAAAAATTAAATCGGGTAGGCCTTTATATCAAATATTTTAAAAGCATATTTTCCACTAAAATGTATTTCCCACTGAAATATCCGTGAATGAACAATTTATCACCTACCTTGGACGAGTTCTCTTAATGCATTCCAAGCAGAATGTTGCAAATTTGGCCATTTCTGTGTCAGGATACTGATCTCGACTTCTATATAAATACAGTTTCGTATAAATATAGTAAGACTGGGAGGGCATGTAAAATGAGGAATTAAAAAAATGAAAACGCAAAAAGTTCCAGTAACTGACGCAGCCGATATAGAAACTGCATACCGTCGCAGGTGTGATCTCAGATATCGGAGAATTTTCCTTGAAGGTATGAACGTACAACACATGCACACAAGAACCTTAAAAAGAACATTGGAATATATAGCAATGTACGAGAGGGAGTCTATTATTCTATTTGAACAATTATGAGGGTTTTTAATCGCGAGCAAATATATACCTCTACGTATATATAGGTATGTGTGTAAACAAGGATATATACCTGTATCTTTCTGAAACGTATGTTGAAAAAGCTGTTCATGCAAGGGTTTATATAGAATCGTGATGTACAAAAGCAGATTAAGTTCACTTACTTGCCAGTTCTTCAAATTCCCAATCGAATCAATATTTGGAACACTTGTTGTTTGCTTCAATAACTGACAGAAAACTTCATCACGCAGTGGCTTTAAGTCATGACACGTTTGTAAGATGCCCTAATAAAAAAATAGAAAAACAGAGTTTAGTTCTACGGAGACAAGATGTGTTGGGTAGAAGAATTTGGAGGAGGCGAGTGCGATAAGTTAGCGACAATTCAAGTATAGCTGCATTTCAAACAAACATGCAACTGGTCCCAACGGATATTAAACGTGGTCAATCAAGGTAACGAGTTAGATGCTTAGAGAAATACTAATATACTGCATGGTACTGCACAAAAATGTCATCTCGAAATCATCAAAAAGGTAGATAATTGATATCGCGAGTTTTATTATATATTTCGAGACTGATTGATATCTCGAAATTTGAATATTTTATAGCGCAATACCTGTATGACTGGTATTGGGTCAGCAACGGATTCTTGCTCTTGCAACGATGAAAATATTCTGATAGCTTCCTCGTGGAATGTCCCATAACCTTTGTCTTTTGCTCCTGAAAAATCGAAATGAAATAATGTCATCAATATAGTGGCAATCGACAGTATTGAAAATTACACAGGGTGTTCGAAATATATAATATATGTGAATAAATACGACATTGTTCGTACTTATTGAAGTTGAATGACCATAAGGCAATGCCAGCAGCGGCGCTCGTAAAGCCAATTTTGTGTATCGCAAGATTGGATTCCTCTGGTATAAGTTGTCTACTTCTTTGCTGTCGTGGGCATTCTGCAATACATAGAGATCTTTAATAAAATTATAAAGTCACATACAGTTACAAACATAATATATAGAACATATATAAATTATAAAATTACAGCCAAAATAGTTTTGTTTAAGTATACGTTTGTATCAAAAAATAAAAAAACTTTACAAGTTGCTGTACACTTATCACGACAAAAAATTACCTATCAGGCTAAATATTATACTACGCAGATGTACAATTAAATACATGCAATACTGTACCTTCACTTCCACCATAAGTTTTGCAAATGGAGTGTCAATGGGCAGTTTGGAATCGATCACCTGAAATAAACAAATATTAAAACGTCAAAATATGTACATGTGTACAATATAGAAATAATATTACACGGTATCGCGGAGGCGTGGATTTTATGTTCGAGTGGCAAGAACAATCTATTATATGGACGGAAAATGCTGCGCCTGGTCCCGAATTTATTGGCGTATGAGTCTTACGAGTGTTTTAGTTCTCAGTAAAATACCCTTGTCCATATAATAGATACAATTATTTATCACGGGAATTATTGTTTACTCGGGCATTCTCTACTTCTTCCTATAAACGTAAATGAACGTGCGAATAATTTCTATCATATCTATAAAAGTGGTTTGCACGGAAAATTAAATCAACTCAATTTTTTTCTTTAGAAAAGAACACGTTAATTTTGTAAAATCAACCACGAGTACGACATCAAAAATCTGCAGTACCTACTACTGCATAAAAGGTTTTCTCGAGCCATGATTAAGGACTTTTGGGGGACTTTTCAAAGACTGAATTCAAGATTTCCCGTGAATTTTCTCGACCTTACACACTACATTATTAGGCCGTGTAACTTGGACGAAGGCTTTTTCGGTTGATTTTGACAAGAATTTTGTGAAAACGCATGCAGAATATGAAAAAAAATTCAGCTGCGAAGACACATTTAGTTTTACTTCAACTAAACGAAACCCACTAAACCATCTTAATATTAATGCAGCCGTATCGGAAATGAAATAAATACCATAAGTAATTAACACTCTCGAGCAACTGGTATTTTAAGTATAGAAGGAATCTAGGAATACCTTCATTAATCAAGTCATTTAAAGAAAATGGGACCGAGATTAAAAGTGAAAATTTGCATGAAAACTAATAGATTTCTATATACTTACGTCTTGTATAGCCGATGTCCATTTTGTGGCTTCTTCGAAAGATTTTGCATGAATGACATAAGAACGTTTTCTTCCATTCACAGTGAATATGATTAAGTCTCCTGATCAATGGGGAACAAATGGATTTCAAATTAGAAATGCGTAAGTGTGGGATTGTAGGCACATTTTCTGAAACGAATGGGGGAAAGTGCCTGTTGTATGTTTTAAGCTGGTGAGACATCATTAGTTGAAAGCACAAGTACGACAAACTTATTGCGAACGGTTATTGCAACAATGGGTTCAAGGTTTTTATTCAGCCGACTACTAGAAATTCTGAGAACTTCACAAGCTTCCGCAATATTCTCTAGCCAGATTAGCACAATCACAATTTCTGTCTTCGTTTGCCAGCCCAACTTTTGGACACTTCGTCAGAAATGGTTTTTACAGTCTACGAATATTGAATACCCTTAAACCCTTTAAAATGATATATAGTTATTTAATACAAACCGTCTTTTGAGTCATCCTGGGAACTTGGTGGAATCACTGAACAAAGGCTATAAAATATAAATTGTATTACACCTATGTACAATAATTTCACAAGTGGGACTAACTATCTACTACAATCAATCAAAATATATCACTTGGCAATCTATACAAAATACCATGCACCATAGGCAACTATAACAATGCAATTAACATATAGCAGATATATCATTTCGCAATGTAAACAGCATATACCTTCGACGATGCTCATAAAATAAAAAAAATATGTACCATCTGTTCACTGTATCGAAGCCACTGATTCTGTTGTGCATACCTGTTCAAAATGATCGAACCGAATCTGGGACTGCCTTTTACGTAGGATTTGAAGTAATCCAAAGAGTTTCCAGTTAGAACAAACCACCTGTTTCATACAAGAATGTTTGATTACTTAAAAACTTTGGCAGGATACAACAGGAAATAATGAAGCGACAATTAATATCACTCATAACAAGTCTCACTCGTCAGGGAACGCTAGAAAACAATATTGCTTGTGGCTTGGCATTTCTACCAGGAGGAAGCAGAAATTATTTTATGAAGAGCCATAAATTTAAGGCATTTTTGCCACGAATTAACTAACACACGCATATTGCAAATAATTTCAAATAGTCCATCAACCTCTTTCGTCTGGAATCGTTTGGTCCTTCTTTGACAAGCCATCCTTGTTCAATGACGTCAGCTAATCCTTCTTCAGCCTCCCTTTCTTTCGTCTTTTGAATTGCTACAATAACAAAACAACTTCAGTTGTTTGGCACATCAGAAAAAGTTATAGGACTTAATTGACTTAGCGGTGAAAGAATATTTGGACATTTTTCTGCATGATATTCAGAGCGAACAAAGCGACTCAGAGCGATTATACTCGGGTGATGAACAAACAAGAGTAATGTACGGTATATATTTTCCTATACAAATTAACTTAGCCACATCGCTCATGAAGCAACAAAATTTAATTTCATTACAACGACAATGTCGTTTTAGAACGACAGGATAACTAAATTAACTTGGGCAACAAAAACTGAGAAGTGCATTTGCTATGATTAATGCATCAAAGTAAAATCTGAATGAAAAATTACCATCAACCCAGCCGTCTGCTTCTTCTGCAGTATCAGCACAGAAACTTAGTAAGCGATTTGCTGTTATGATTGTAAATGAATTTGGCCTGAAAAGAAGTAGCTAGTTAGTAACAGTTGATTCCGTATTGTAACATTATAAGAATTTAAATACAGCGCATGACATGGATAGCGTTTTAAAAGGAGAATGTTGTGAGTGAGCTGTACACATCATGCATATAGATAAAGCATTCATAATTTGTCAACTAAAATATATGAACGATGATGTAACTTACTTCCCTGGTACACCCCCAAGAGTACATGATTCAATAAGTGGAACATCAATAGTGCCCTAAAACACGAAAATTATGTGAATTGTAGTGAAAAGAACTGTTTATTCAAATGAGAATATACTGTGAAAGCGATATATCTTTTGAACATATATAAACATCAATCAAGTGTCTGTATATTCGATATTTTAGTCACAAGTTTTTCTTTCATCCGACGATAAAAGAAGCAAAGACTATAAAGATGACATTCCCGATGACCTACAAGGTTTCCTCCATACCCGAAACTATTAAAACGATACAGTATATTCGCTTTGACACAGTTCGAGTAGAGGACTGGTTATAGCGAGATTGATGAGCTTTCTGTTAACGTCCCTAAAACAGCGTTTAAGTTCTGATTGATACTACAGCTTAGGAATTGTCAATTAAATATATAACATTTAAATGTTCAATTAGCAAAAAAATTATCGCATATTGAGACGTTAAAAACAAACAATGAACTTTTATAGTACCGAACTTTATTTCTCTTCATTTTAATTGTATATGTTCCAGGTTACATACTTAGAGCTTTCGAAAGCTCAAAGGAAGTTGAAACTTAAATTCAGTGAACTGAGGTTTCCCAGTCAATCTAAATATTACCATCTGAATAGGTAAAGACGACAGGTAGAGTTAATCGTTTGAAAATATGCCGACGTTTATTAACATGAGTTATGACACAACGGACGTTTTGTTTGACTACTTACTTAAGAAGCAAATACTTACAATCGCATGTTTGATGTTGGCCGATTCTTCTTTCATATCACGAAGTTCGTGTTCGGATGCTCTATGAACTCGGTTTAGGATATTAAACCATTGGCTGAAATAAAAACAGGGAAAAAATAAAATCACGGGGCCATCACAAGACCGTATACATTCAGTTTAAAATTCGGGAAGTGGAGCGTATCAACGTAAGAGTATAACATGCTTCTGAGCAGAGGATGTATTAACAGAACTCTTACTTCCAGTCATGCGCTGACTCAGCAATAACATGGTACGTCCTTCCATCAGTCACAATACTGAACGCATTTTCTTTTTCCCCGCTGTCCAAAATTCTCCTGAAATACGTATTGCTACATGTTCAATACCAACGAACAATAAACTATGTTTGGAATCTAGGACTGCGATGCTAGCAACGCCTATGTATATACACAGAGGTTTCTCGGAATTGTGATCTCGGAGAGCACGAATTTCATTAATTAAGGTTTGCCAGGCTCAGTGTAATCAGGTTACAGCTACATAAATTATGCTGTGTAAAAGAACTTGTGAACACTCACTGGCAATTCTTCAGGTCGACGCTACCCAGTACTTTTGCTCCTTCAGCGTCATTTTCGTGATAAGTCAGTATTGTATCTTTCAATACAAACCATCGCCTCTTCCAATTTCGTCTGAAACAAAATAAAGGATATATATATATATATATATATATATATATATATATATATATATATATATATATATATATATATATATATATATATATATATATATATATATAGCATACAGGGCTGATGTGAAACGGTGTATGATAAAAGACAACAAATCAATAGGATTTACAATGCTTTGCCGATTAATGTACTTTGAAAGCTTTACATGACTTTTGAAAACAATTCCAATAAATATAAGCTGAGGAAACAGATTACCTTGATAATGTTCCAGTGCCACCACCTTTCTTCAGCAGCCAACCGGCTTTCAACGCTTCCTGCAGGAGAAAACATACGATAAGTTGCATCACAGCAATATGTCATGTAATGTTTCAGAAACCTTTTGCAAATAGGCTGAATCAACACACATTGTTTGAAAACTATCATACTAGGCGATTGATTGCATGCAGTTGTCAAGTACCTGATATACGTAGTATCCGTTATTACGTTACGAATTAGTCTCTGTTGCAAGCATGCCAACTAATAATGCAGTTGACGATCATGGAGCGATGATCTCCGCGCTCAATTGTTGTTAAAGAGACGACATTGAAGTAATTAGATCTACTAAGAAATATAGGTCTTTCTTGTTTATTCATGTGACGTTTTTTTGTGCTCATGTGGGCCTGCCCACTTCTGCCGGTACGCCTGTTTCTTTCACGATGAAAAAAGTGTTTGTAATGCTCCTAATTGCTATTGATGTTATTTTTCTGGCTTCCAGACTCACAAAAGACATGACCAGGAAACCGAATTCAAAATGCCCTTGATATAAGCTTGGGTTTAATGTTGAGACAGCTTCACCATGTACAAATAATTTGAAATTAGGCTATCTCATTAGTACGTGATGATTCAAGTGACGACGTAACAAAGTTATGCCACTAGACAATTGGTTCACTTCATTGTGCTAGATCAATCTCATTCACCGTACACATGGAAGATTGTATAGATACTAAAAGATAGAACAAACATTCTTCTATGATGCATCTAAGCCTACTTACCAATTTCCCACGGAACCACATAAGTGTCTCATCTCGTAAGATACACCAATGTCTCTTCCACAGATTCAAAAGACCACCTATATACAGAATAAAGGGATAAGGAAAAATTTCTCCCGAGTATTTATTATTGATAGATTTTAATTAAAAATAATGCTACTTAAATCTAATATATTCTAAACTAAAATTGAAATAAGTCGGCGGTGCAGAGACCATTAAAAAACAAAATTCCGAATAAAGAGGACATTTTGAGAATCAAAATATGAATCAAACAAGACACAGGTTGAGACTGTAAATTTTCGACTTTATTTCAAAGTCATCTCTGCCTGTTTTTTCGGAATTTGTTTTTTTACTTTACCTTTTTAAATTGTCAGCTGGTCATGGTTTTTTCCAAAGATCAGAGACCGGTTGTATAAAACACTTTAACTGCATCTTGCATATAGTTAAATCCTAGTTAACTCAGACATAACTCAGATTGGGCAATTTGGACCTTAATAACTACAGTTATAATAAAGTTAACTAGTCTTTTATACAACTGGCCCCTGAAGATGAAAATCTTAAATCTCTTTAAAAAATGAAGTCGCTGTTTTCCGCAGATCAAATTAGTACGAAAGAAGTCGCTTTAACTACATGCACATACCTTCTTTCATAGTGAGATAACTTTGCTTGTATGGTAATTCCAATGATCTATCAACAATACTTGGTGAACGTTCGATGAAGGCTTCGTCGTCTTCTTCTTCATCGTCGCTCAATTCTTCTGTCTGCTACATGATGAAAATATATGCGTGTGAATGAAGAAAATATCTATTGCAATTCTAAAACACAATCCTTTACACTCGTAAGCAATGAGTATCAACCTCCCCCCCTCCAACTATCATTTATATACGCAATCCAAATGTAATTGGCAATGCGCTTGCTAAAATTTGCATCCATGCTTTAGCTAACTTTACGAACGTTGAACCCATGCAGATAAACTTGACATGGCGGCACCAGTTTATAACAAGGTTCTCGATTGTTCGAGAAAAATCACGATTACATGCATAAATCGTATAGTCTATCCCCTCTCCATTCATCACGTCATAGTATAGATCCCTAATTTTTCATTATAAATTAGTGTGAAGTTTGATATGGTATATCTAATAAATGTGACAACAAAGATCAAACTGCTTATAGTATCGCTCGTACAATTAACTTGTACACGTAATACATAACATGTGTATTGTGACCAAAAATAAACAAATATGAAATAGTTATATTTACCCTATGTAAATATAGAATGTTTTCTTCCATTACAAAGATAGTAAAAGCATCGCAAAAGCACTCATTTTCTTCGTCATATTCATATCAGACATTATCAAGAGCGCGAGTGTTTAACCATGGGGCAGAAACAGAATTTAAAAGGCATGAAAAGGCTAAAAGACGCAGCAATCACTAGCTGAAACTCTTTCACGAATGCAAGTATAGATGCTCTTTTTGGCAGAGCCACGAAGGAATTTTCTAGCATATAAGTATATAGGCTTGCATATCGACATAATTTTTTATATTGCATCACATCCGCAGTTAGCCACTTAAATTGGAAAATTAATACTTGAAAAATTATATAGGATGCATAAAAAATAACAGCTTTAAGTTGTTTGTTTTTTTGTAGTTCATTTAGTAGTTTCTTCTAATGTATATATAAGATAAATGAAATATAGTATAATAGTATAATGCATGGATATTTGTAATGAAAAACTCGTCTCTGCATGCATGGATCGAGTTATACCTCTCTTTCGAAAATAATGCAACAGACTTAATTAATAGCGGTAAAAAACCGCGCTTCTTAAACAACATTTTATTGCAGGCAAAGAAACTTTATTAGCAGCGCGACTTTGATGAAAGCATAAAAACGCAACGAATGTCGTGGGCCGCTTACAATTTATGACTATATATATGGCTATTTTTAATAGTGAAAATTATCCTTAGGAAAGAAGAGTTTCTTTCGTCTGTATTACTCGACAAGAACTGATGACTTTAACACAAAGAAATTCGTTCTGGTTCATGAAAATATTTTTTCTAAGGGGCCGCTTATATATGGAAGCCGGCTATCGAGATCTCGCCACTAACACATTTCTCTATAAAAACTTCTGTGCGTTTATATGGACATGCAGGCAGGCTGGCCCGCTTGGTGAGATCTTAGCGGGATGAAAACATTTTCATATAAACGCTCCAAGCGGGCTGGCCCGGGTGCCGAGGTAGAACCAATCTTTATGATTTTTGATGTTTCTCAGCGTTTCTTTTTATAGTTTGGTGGACTTTAAACGCAAAGCCAATAAAGGCGTTGTTAATAATCTCTGTCCCAGCATACAAGCGGGATGAAATGCTCTCATATAAACATAAGACAAGTTTATCCCGTTTACCGGGTTGTCTCGCCAACCGAGCCAGACTCCCATATAAACAGCCCTTTAGTGCAAACAGTCTTTGATTTTCATGCACTGCCGCCTCTATATTATACACGAATCAACGCACATAAAAGTTTAAATTGTTCATGCAACTAAAATGGATATATGTTTACGGTTTAGGCCTGTGTGAGAGTACTATATGTGAATGATTGTGATTCAATTGTTCTGTGTGATTTTCTAGCACCTCCATTGCCGATACCGTATTAAGGGTCTTGACTAGACGACTTTTTGCGTGGAGGGGGCTAAGGCTAAATATCCACATATAAATTCGCGTCGTATCCACTATATAAATAAAATGATACAGCTGGCACGCGAACATCTTCATGCATGGAGCCGAAATTTTCTTTTATATACGCGAGTTTTCTCCCATGCAGACCACTGGTAGCCACGCGTACTTGCGCGGCCTATACTTGTTTTTTCATGAAAGAGCAAAGAAGTTTTGAGATGCAATTATTGTACGCGTATTTCTCGTTTTTTTTTATGGAACTGGTAAAGTAATATCTTATTCGGCGAAAGAAGCCTTCCATTCCAGTTGCCTGTGTCCGTTTCATCACTTGAAACTTCGACCATTTATTACATTTTTAAAACGATTGTTGAATATGATATACACAGTACACCCCAAAAATCTATCTTTAAGTTATCGCTATGACAGTATAAAAATCTAATTCTTTTCCTACAAGTCATACAGGACACTCTTAAAAAGGTTCAAATTGCAGCAGTAAGTGGCTTCCTTACCTTCAATGCATTGTCCAATTGTGATATCGCGTCCTCTTCAGCCTCTTCTTGTATTCGTCTTTGCTCTTCCTCAGCTTTGAGCCTGACAAATAAGACAATCAAATTTGACAGGTTACACATGCAGCATTCCTCTTCAACTCTTTCATATGACATATGCCTTTTGATGTCATGAACACGACAATTTTCAGACGCTTGACAAGCGTACGTTTAGAATAATATGCATGGACACAATGACTATATAGCAGGATGTTTCTACCGGGTGTCCCAAAAAAGTACCACGTATTGAAATTATTCTTTTGTTGTTAGGGGTACTTTTTGGGACACACAGTATACACTAGCTCTTACCTTTCCTCCTCTTCAATTCTAAGCCGCTCTTCCTCCTCCTATAAAGCGGGTGAAATATTCAGAAAAGACGTGCATAGGAGGGTTATTGGCGAAAGCAACAAGCTTATATACATTAAGTCTACAATAAAATTTATATCAAGGGTCTCAGTATGTAGGTGCCAAAGGTTGAAAACTTTATTAGCGACGAGTCTGGGCAAGTTTGACACACATTGCAATAAAGTTATACTGATAAACTTCTATTTCTTGCTATATGATGTCTCCCCAAACAACTTCTTTAATAATTAAAAATTCCTTTAATGCCAATTGGAGGCCGTTTAACGATGTAAATATTCTTTTGAGATCCGACAACAATATCGCTGTCGTTAAATAAACTATGCTGTAGTTTGCCAGACGTGATAGAATATTCACTATTTCTGCGATTAAGAAACTGTATGATTAAGATCGACAACCCTTCCAATTTATATAATTCTTGTATTTTTACATCTTTAATTTTATAGTTTTTCAAGTATGTTTAGCTACATCGGATGAAAAAATTCGCTACAAAATATTCTGCAAATTGCAGCAATTTGGCTTTATACTACAGGCACAGGCCTCCGCAAAAAGTAAAGCATATGTTTCTGGCTTGAATTTAATTGGATTGCGTATGAATTCAACTCGAAATTAAGTCCATTGATTCTCTGCATTTTCACACATTGCACCTTCGATAACAAGAAGGAATTTCGTTTTAGAACGATCAGCAAAATTTGTTAACAGTAGCCCATTCAGAATGCACAAATCGGACTACTTCCGGTAAAAAGGTACATTACGTACATTTTATGTAAACGTATTCTGATTGGCTTTGCCCGATATCCTTGTTACTTTCGATATTGTTTTGGGAAAATTCGCTGTACAAACCTGTCTACGTTTAGCCTCTTCTTCAGCCTTCCTCGCCTCTTCAATTCTCCTCGCTTCTTCAATCTCCCTTGCCTTTGCCAACATGGCTTGCTTCTGTTCCTCTTCTTTTCGTAGTCTTTCTTCTTCTTCTTCTCTCTTTCTTCGAGCCTCCTCTTCTGCCTGCATCACACAAAAATATTATCCAGATGTTAAAAATGAGGGTCAAGTGTCAAATACAGATTACTTCAAAGTGAAAATATTTTGCAAAAAATTGCAAACGTTTACAAATCAACGTCTAGACAACTATTTATAATCCAGTCCGTAAACCACCTCGGTATTTAGGACTTAATTTGAGTTCAACTTTTAGATTTTTGACAACACTAGTCCAGTCTAGCAACATTTTATACACCATACAATATTAGGCTTGAGTGAAAGTATGTTTTTGAGTGCAATAAATTAAGGCACTAAATTAGGCCACATCTGGGTGCATGGGTTCACAAGAGACACTAACAGATAGTTTTGTTAACTCATTCATTGGCAGTACTCTATCACAGATGAGTAAAATCATTTTTACAGACGTCAAAACTGTACGAATATTACGTAGGACGAGCGCTATTTAGCATCTTTGAAAAGCTCACTCAGTCATCATTAATATATTTCCAAATAAATCAAGTGAATTATCATCGAACCGAATCTAGATCGCTCATTAAAGCGGGTAAGGGAGGGTGCACTTTCAAAAAAATAGTACCGGCAAAAACTGAACATATGAATATGCACTGCTTCTAATTATCGTGTTAGTTACTACATTTCTAGTTTCTCTATTTCCACAAGTCCGTATGATATGCACAAAAAGAAAAACATATTTCTCGAATTCTCTCTGTGAAAGATTTCTTAGGGTGGTTCCCTAGGGTTTTTTCTCGTCAAGTCAACACTGGTACGTAAATATGACTCCCAAACTATTACGCGATGTGTGGAAGAAAGACATTTCAAATTAATTAAAAGTTTTTGGAACACGTTTCTCCTATATTATCCTTGCCATTTGAGGATCTCGCTCGGTGAAATTTTTTACGTTCGTACGAAAGATATTGCTTTTATTAATATGTTTTAATATCAATTTTAAGCCTATTTGTTGATTACTAAAAACATATAGTTTTATTTTTTAGGGTCGGGCAAAAGAACGATCATAGAGCCTACTCTACGAATTAAAAAGAAATTTCTTCCGCAAACCGTAGGTGATGGTTTGGGAATAATTAACACTTATATTTATCCCGACCGAAGGAAACACTATGTTTTGTTTCACGAGGCTGAGCCACCTTAAATGAATCGCTTTATTTCGGCACGAAGTAAAGTATTCTTTCATCATGGAATACGAAATAATTACGGACATTTGTTAAATGTCGGCTGAATACATTACCTTTCTTCTTAATTCTTCTAATTCTGCCATCCTTCTTTCCTGTTCCAACCTCTCCATTTCTCTGAAAATAACATTAAAGAATATCATGAGAACATGCTCCCTATATACAAGCTATGTCTGCCGATAGCAATAGTTAGCTTCCAAGAGCCCGAAAACAATACTTTAATTTGTTATGCTCTGCAGTCAATTCCAATTCCTACTAATTTGTATAAAATATTTCGCCAAAGGTAGAAAATTTGTCTTAATCCATGAGAAATTCTGAGATTACAAACAAAGGTCATAATCTCAGATTATTAAGTTATACGTATACGATTGCTGTCAAGTATCCGTATATTATGCCTTTGGCAGAATTGCTACCCAATAAGGTGACAGGCTGAAAATACAAAAAATGTGGTAGGTTACCGCGCCTGTAACTTAAAAAACACAATACATGCAGTGAGCATTAAAGAACATTCGATATTTTCACAGGGACTTCATAATTATGCATTTGAAAAATGAATATGGCATTAGTAAATGTATAGTGGTGCATGAACCAATATAACAGCCGGTTCTCACGAAAATAGCCACAATTATAAGAGGAAGCCAATTGCGAATTTTTAAATGCAATTAGGAAAGCAATAGTGAAGTTCTCTCAAGGAGATCTTTATTATATTAAGTAGACAGTCCAATCTATAGTACACCTAATTATCTCCAAAACTCATCCACAAATATTCTAACAAAATATTTTTAATATAATAAAACGATTATCTTCAGTAGCATGAAAGTAGTGAGGTTCTAAAATCCCAAAATCACAAACTTTTATTCATGCATGCCCATCAGTAATGGTGATAAATTGCATATTAAATATAGTAAATATATTAAACTATAATATCTATAACGACATTCTTTAATATACTTGAAATCAAAGACTGTATTGTGTCGCAATTGAAAAATGCAAGCCAAATTTAAAAAAAGCGTGCGAGTGTGAATATACATACCAAGCCGAAAACTATGCCGTATAATAACGTTCAGCAACCGTTGCTATAGCAACAAAGTGTACTAAAATGGACGCTATATAAAAGTTAATGTTTTTTTAAATTTTGTATTTATATCGCTATAACGCGGCGATATATATAATTCTATGGTGCAAGATGTTTTGCAGCTTGTAGATAAAAAAAGGATCATAAAGGAGAAACCTTGTTTCGGTTTCTTTGGTTTAAATTAATTTAACTCCTCAGTAGCCTCGTAGCCATCCATAAATGAAATATTTATAAGTTTACAAAACGTCGCTGAATATATAGATTAACGTTCTGAAATATTGTTATTCATTCTATCAAATATATATACAGGAGGAGAAAATTTGTTTAATCTGATAAAATAAGGTATTCTTGGAGATCCGAATGATAGAGTCATGTGTTCTCTACTTGTACACTTCGCTCATCATCGTAACGTACAGTACACATTATAACCATACATAATAGAGTGACAACGAAGGCTAAATTTTCAATCTTTATTTATTTATTTATTTTATTTGTCAAATATGACTGGTGACCCCAACAGGACTTTATTGCCCCATTGACAGGCACCCAAATTTATATACATATTAATTAAATTTACTACATAAGTGATTTGCTGCCCTCAGAACATAATCTGGCAAAAGAGATTTAGCGAATTGTATTGTTTCTTATCTGATCATTACTAACATATACCGTATTTAACTGAAGTGAGAAGTAAGAGAGTTTCTGAGGTCAGCAAATGAATTAATTACAACACATTTTTTCACAACACCAGACAACGGACGACAGGAACGACATTTAACAAACACAGTTTTATAAAACAATCTTGCTTTATTCACAAGCTTTGGCAGGAAAGATTGCGATATTTGTTATTGTTTACGTGCTTCTTGGTTACCTAGTAGCTAGATCAAACCTCAGTACATATTTGAGGATAGAAAGAAGGAAATATACCGCAAGCTAGTCTTTCATATATGCTGCCACACGCAAATCTTGAATTTGTTGAAGCGATTTCATTTAAATTTTGGCTACAGGCTGTTTCAAAGAAAACTATACAATATAAATGTGGAGGCATCAACCGCAGCAGATGATAGCCTCAAGTTATTTTACCTTTTATTTGTTTTTAATTCTCACGACGTTTGAAATAGTGAAACAGATCTACAATATATATTTATTGCAACAGAGAAATAAAATCACAAGTTAAAAAGTAAACCCTTACATCAGTCCCTATTTATATACGTGCATATTGGGTATATACTACCTTAGAAACATGACAGTAAAATTGCTTCGTATTACAGCTTTTCGGTAAGGTTTCGGAATCTCCATTTCCAAAATAAACTAAAAGTCAATCCCGTAAATTATCGATGCAAGAGTCCGGATAACTTCCAACATATATTTCTTTCTTTTTTCTATATGTGAATTTCTTGTATTTCATCATGGCCAAAGTAAAGTATATTGAACCGTACCCACAAAACTACTTAACAATGTGCATGTTTTGACATTCGCCCGTGGGTCGAATATGCCCCGTGCATGCAATGTTTAGAATTCCACAGATAATCATACAGAGAAAATGATTCAAAAATGACAAAATGAACAAACTATGAGTTTTCAACGATACGTTCGCCCAGGCATGCAAAGACTAGAGTGCATGTGCAGCTGCATTTATAGCTAGGAGATTATAGCAACACTACGTCATTCCAAGCACATTTTCCAGTTGCCCTCTAGCATGTACCGCGATGAGAACAAAATTCTGATCCCGTGACTACAATAGGAGCTGTATGCATGGAAGATATTGCCCGTGGCAGCCTAATTCGTCTAGTGAAAGGGATGCTGCCTGCATGGTGAAGACTTTTCCGTTCAAAAGTTTCAAATCTGAGTCATTACCTGCTTGCATGGATTTTACTGATCGATCATGAAAATGCTATAGTAGCTATCTTAGCAACCATAGGCAGAGCCACCAGGCACTTGAATTTTTGCAAAAAAGCAACAGATTATCCTAAAACTTATGCCCGTGAACAAAAACTTTGTTGTAATTAAACAGCCATTTGACTTCAAGCTAAGTAAAATATTTAAAGATGGGCATCTGCGGTATTAAACTCCATAATATTTAGAAATACACTGACTTTTATATTTTATCTTTCGAAACATATCGCTCTCGAAATTGAAAAAAAGCATGGTGCAATTAGCAATTATACCACTCGGTCTACAGGGGCGATATATACAGTATATATAGCAAAACCGTTGCCATGCAAACATCTATAAATGTCCACAGAATATACCTGAGAGATATCACGTCTGCATGTCAAAGTGCACGTTTACAGAACACAGCTATTGTATACATTCACAACGAGAAGACTGATATTCTACGGACACTTTCTGGACATTAGAATGTCTGTAGAAGGTTTCCAAATTTGTATTGAAACCTGACAGTAACACATTCTCATCTGTATCAAAATATTCGAACTATACTGCATGCAGCATATAATTATAAATACTGTACTATACTATTTTAAAAGGCATGCAGTTTTCTCAAATATAAAACATATAAGTTTTTTACTTGGCATTTAACACAAAATCGAGTCGAACTATTTTTTTAAAAACAGTTTGAAAGTGACATAATAAATAGTTAAATAAGAATCTATAGATCACGTGCATCATGCATTTCCCAAAAATTCTAGGAATTCACTCTTCTAAGCCGCGAAAACAGGCCATAAAATTTAGGGTAATGGCAAAAATCACTCATTAAATGCATTGGAACTTTTTCTATTCAATACTATCAATAACCAAATTACTATCTATTTACACTAGGAAATCACATTGGCTTCAGCGGCCTCAAATATAGTGCTGCACAGAAACACCACAACAAAAACAATTTAGCTTTTGCTGCTTAAAAGACAGATCCGCCGAACGTTTGGTCAAATGACAATGAGAAAGCGAGCAATGTGCCATGCAGCGAGCTTCAGCAATACCGTCACTACACTTGGCCATGTATATTCTACTTGTTCGCGAAAAGGGAATAAACACTTAAGTTTTATGATAGTGAACTGAAGAGTGTACCTTCTCTGCTCTTCCTCTCTTCTCCTCTGTTCCTCTCTAATCCTCTCTTCTTCTATTCTCTTCTCTTCCAATAGCATCTTCAACAATTGTCGAGCGGCTCGGCCGCGTTCGTACTGTGGAAGGACAGAACACATGATTTATTATTATTCGAGTCGATATACTAGCTCTCATCAAGACTCTTCTGGATATATTGCGACCTGAATAAGCGTGCAATACGTTTAAATGTCTAGAGTTTGCGGGGGTGTGGGTATACGTATCACACAGGAACTTAACCCCAAAGAGATTCTATCCAACTACAAGCAATCAACAAGATAAAAGGTTTCTTTCACATTGTGAAATGTGCGACATTTTCAGAATGACTTCAGGGCAATTTCCTTACAAACAGACCGAGAAGAGCTTCCTGGCTTTTCAAGATGGAAAAGCCCCTCCCCCCCCGGCTGGATGGCTACAAAACAATATATTAATATAAGCATTTAAAGTGTAGAAAACCAACATGCAAAAACATCAAGAGCCTGGCTTTCGAGGTTGGCAAAAACATTTAGTCAAAAACTAGCATCACCAAACGCGTATGTACAGTTACATTAAAGGACAAATCCTATCTCAACGACATAAAAAGACAGGAAACGACATGATTCTAAACATAATTCTGCTCGTTCCCAATTCAAAATGGCGATTATTTCAAAGACGCCGAAAGACATGAAATGACAGCTAACGACTGAATGGAAACTAGCCTTAACACTCAGTACCGCAATGGACTACATCATTGACTTTATAGCAGGGCTAGAAACTTCAGCTAGATACGCTAAGTTTAGCAAAAAAAGTTTCTTTATTAAGTTAACTTGGATCGAAGAGTCTGTTATAGTGCGAAGGTGAGAGGAAAAGCGCGGCAAAGGAGATGTATTTATCATGTATATAACTACAATGGTACCCGTGCCTACCTTTTGGAGTATAATGGCTGCCTGTCTCATCCTTAAGAACTTGTTGTGATAAAAGTGCCCCTAAATTGTTTTAAAAAATGATTTAAATACCTTTTACATCAACGCGCTGCAGTCTACTCCATATTTTGTATAGCACAAATATCATTCCACGAAACGTACCTTGTAAACTTTCTGTATAAGTAAAATAGCAGCTCGCTTTTCCAAGAACCGTTTTCGAGCAAGATAACCAATAATACATCTTTTAATAACTTTAGCAACCTCGCGTAACTCTTTATCGCGTCTTTTGTCAAGCAAAATCTCCAGCTCGTCCTTTAAAAACATCTGCATGAAAAATGAATGAAACGTCTTGAAAAAACCTTCGTATATGGATTGAAATGGAAAGGTGTTGAGAATAATGCAACTAATGAATGAGGTTGAATTATCAAGCGAAGTTTGTCCTGATCAATTTTTCATATCCTGGAATGACATAAAACTTTATTCGCTCGCATTTTTGTCGGTTTCACATTCCCGCTCCCTTGAGACTTGGGATGTCTTTGCCACTGGTGTGACGTGATAACGTGGGATACGACTGTCACACGTTATGACGTAATTAGCGTGCATATAAAAACGTATATAAAAGTCGTACCCCACGCTATGACATGGACATGACGGTCTTACACATAGCCAATCAAAGGCTGTGAATTATTTTAAATGAATATAAAACAATTTAATGTAAGTATACGTATAAAGCTCAGACGGGACAGGAATGCTTAAAAAGGTAAAACGAGACATTGGGGTTAAATGACACAACCTGAAATTATGCGAGTTCTCGGCGCGTATTAATTACGTGATTACGACAGGTTTTTTATTTTAATTTAAGCATTACGGGCCCATAAACAAGCATTGAGTTATTCAACGTGTTGAGAGCCAATGAGAGGTTCGAAAGCTATTTTATAGCGAAAAAAATTTTTGAGATCAATCTGTCATTGCAATCTGTCAGTAAATATTAATATTTGTAGAATGGTTCGAAACTACAAACCGAAAGGCCAGCATATACCGGACGCAATTCGCGAATTTTCAGTTTTCAGCTAGAAGCAAATAAGTTTAATTCTAGACGCAATTTTCAAAGCTATCGGTACCAAACATATCGAAATGTTTTCGAAGCAAAATTATGTCATTGTCAAATTGATCTCTGATAGACATTTAATAAACAAATTACTTCAGGGTCGGCTCGTTTGTAAGATTTTTATGCACTTGTTGTGAAGGATCGCAAACTCACTCGTTGCGTCACAACTCCTGAATAAAAATTGTACAAACACGCCAGTCATGGAGTAATTTATACCATACCTTTGTTTTCCCCAATTTCCACTTTTTTCTAGTTGGTTCTATCTCGTCCAGCAAGAGAGAACCATCTTGTTTTGGATCACCGCTGATTGGCTTTCCTCTCAGTAAAACTTTGTAGCTGGCGAAAAAACAAAAGAAAACAGCGTTACAGTGGATAATGTATTTACCTTTTTACCGCCTTTTTTTCATGTAAAATTAAGTGATTCAATCATCACGTTTTTGCCAATCAGAAATCAATAATTCACTCTCACCTAAAGGCAAACTCAGCGTATAGAATTCGAACAGGATATCCAGCCCGACGTATTCTAACAGTTTCCAACATGCCCGAATACCTCAACTGATCAAGAACCAATTTTGGATCAAATTTATCAGGCAGCTAAAGAAAAGATAATATTAAAAGGTGTTAGAAAATAATACTAAAGCGCTAAACCAAGAAGCTGCACTTCATGCATGCAGCTACGTTTTGAGTCTGTGAGAACTACTATACATTGCTATATATTTTAAAGGTCTAGCGTATATAATCGAGGTACAATTTTTCAATGATAACACTATCCGACTTTAAACTAAAACGATACAGACAGTTTTAACAGTTATCATATACCTTCGATCCATTGGGTTTGATACATCTCACAAAATAAGGATGAGCCTGACTGAGAGTAGTCATCAATGATGTCAGTGAAGTCTGGATGAAAAAAGTAAAGCATATAGTCCTTAAAATGCATGTGTCATACGTACACTGTAGTTTCATTCATATAAATTTTGCTTGTCTTACTCCTCTTAGGAGAAGTTGAACTGTAACCCCAAAGCTAGTCTACTGTAATAGCAACGGTGGAGCTTCTGCTTCCTGCATGTCACCGGAGGCAGCAAAAAAACGATCTGGAACTCAACGACATCAAGAAGTACTAACATATTCGCCATTGTTTCGTTGGCAGCCAAGAAATGTTTTCGTTCTCGTTCTCGTTCTCGATACGCGAGTCTACTATTCTGGGCTGCCTATGATCGTTTTCAAGAAAAGGTCCAAATCGACGCGACGAATTGGCATGTGTTGAAACGTTGTACGTACGTGAAAAGAATGTCATGCATCATTCTGAAACCTGGCTAGAGAACAATGTTTTAAACAAGCCATATAGAAGCAGTTGACATACCCGAAACTGAGAACTGACGGTCGGTCGCCGTTTAGCGGATTTACTGTTAGCCCCAGGTGTTGGTTTCATATGTTCAACTAAGTCGTACACAAAGTCAGATCTAAATTAGAAGAAATATGGCCAATATTATTATAGACTATGATCTCTAGGCAATACGTCCGAGTGCATGCGATCTATTCTCGGTCGAAGAGAACGGGTCACTTTCTGTCGTAAATTTATGGTATAATTAACCCACCTGCTGTTTTGAAGTATGTTTAATAAATCGTCTCTAAACGTGTCTCTGTAAAAACAAAGTTGAAAATGTATCTTTCTGTTAGTTACGGCTCTTAAGATTGGTAGTATTATTCTAAGAGTGTACCTGTTTTTCTCTAAAAATCCAGAGGTAGTATAGTGAACCTACAGAGCACAAGATTGAAGGTTGAATGAAGTCAACTATTTCATGGAAAAAACAACATCAAAAATTAAAGAGACTTACATCTCCGGCATAATGCCTGATACCAAATTTCTTATTAGCAACTTTTGGCTTTAAGTAAAACTTGTTCCCCTAGAAGAAAGCATACATGTTATTTTCAAATAAAATAAACGAAGAAGTTTTTTGCTCTCCGCTACTAAAAGGATGATCGTAAAGGTAAAATATCTTACAAAATGCCCCTTTCGTATAATCATCGCCAGTTCATTGGGAATGTTTCAAATCTCAATATATTTTTGCCACTTAGCTACTTAAAAGAGCTTTCATATTTTATATAAAATTCCGTACTCTCTGTTAGTCCTCTAACCTATACGGTCCAATTATGTTTTGAGTTCGATTTCGTAAGCCGAAGGTAATTTAAAAAGGCGTTAACACCACTCTTTTTTAGGCGACATCATTTAAACTTTGGTTAATCGCTATTGAGGTAAAAAGTAACTCAATGATAGCGAGAAGTTAGTAATTTTTCAGTCATATTTTATTATGAAGAAGTCTAAATTGAGGCGAACTTCAGATAAAACTTTAGAAGCCTTATATATAAGGAAAAATTAATTTTGCCCATACCCAAAAATATAAATTTGTTTATTGGAAACACTAAGTTGGCAATTGATCCTTCTTGTTCACAGTGCAGATAATACAATGTTTTTACAAACCTCGTGACTGTTATGTAATTTCTCCAACAAAGACGCATCGGTTCCTTTCGGAAAACGGCTCTCTTCGTCAAATAACGACAGAACACCAACTTTCTGAAGGCAGAAATTATTATTGCTTAACTAATAATGTATACTCATCATCATTTGGCTGGCAAAATTGCCTGCCTCCCGTCAAACCAATATAATTTTCCGTATTCTCCAAAATTGTATTTACATAATGCCTAATCAGTGGATGCAGTATGCAGTTTCTGGCTATCAATAAAGATGCATATTGTACCCAGGGCCGCCGCTAAAAGCTTAATTGGGTGGTGTATATTCATATATTCATGTCCAAATAAGTGTAAAAACAACACTATCAAAAGAAAGCAGTCAGGCATTAGATGAACATATGAACGTACACACCGCAATGAGGCTTTTAGCGGCAGCCCTGATTGTTGTACCTTTTCAATCAAATCCAAGCATTCTCCGTTGTCAACCCAGTCAATATCAGCCCACTCCAGTCCTTCCCTGCAAGAAGATAAAAAATTATTTTGTCGTAGACTTTTATACTATAAACGACAAGATCCGAAGCATGCTAAAACATGGGATGCATTCATGTGACACGAGTCAGGCGTTTGATGTCTATTGAATTCGTGAAAAAAAACAACCCAGCTTCCACTTGTGCATTGGATTGTATGTAACATTGCATAGCAGACTTTAGAACTTTCGATTGATATGAAACCCTCACCTATTGTATTCATGTTGCTCCAGTGAAAATATGTGTTTGTTAAAGAACTGTTGAAGTTTCTCATTTGCATAGTTGATGTTGAACTGTTCGAATCGGTTGGTCTAAAAATACAGAAACAAAAATGTTGTCGTAAGTGTTCGCATTGTTATCGTAAATACGGGCGGTTCATATAATGACGAAGAACACACACGAGTATTGAATGAATGGACAAAATTGATTAATAGAGCTAGTAATATAGTGTTCCAGCACTGAATGCTCTGTATTTAGGAAATGCACTGTATTCAGCCATCAAACGTCGTCACTCAACAAGTACCAACGTAATAGAAGCAATCACCCCCTGCTAATATTTAAAATTGTGCAATTTCAAATATTGGAGTTGTCTTTCTGATGGGTGTAATTATGTGCTTACAGTATAGTAAACAGGAAAAACGTAACTTATTTCACTGATCCTCCCGACATTTAGTTGTAAAATGCCAATTTATGAAAAAGTAACAAAACGACCATCGTTTGATTTCACCACAAAATATTCAACTACCAGTCAGAAAACAATACTAAACAAGCTCGCGGCAAATGCATGGATACATGATATTAAAGATTTAAATTTTCTTTGTCATAGTTTGTCTCATTAACTTATGCCGTCCTATTTTTGGCAACGCAAACGTACTGTAAACCCGGTATGTAAGCGGAAAGATATTGACATGTGGAATCAACATGTAGCACAAAAGTTCGTCGAAATGTAGTCAATCATTCAATTTGTTATTTTAAACATTTAATGTGACATTGCTACAGTAATTTGCAAACAATTGATTTTCTTATCAACATCCTTTATCATTGCGAATCACGATTACATATCGAGTGCATTAACAAATACTAACCTCAAAATTCTCAAAACCAAAAATATCAAGAATTCCAATGGAGGCGTAGTTACTACTTCCTTTAATGCGGGCGTTAATTCGTTCTATGATCCATTTGAAGGTGCAGGCGTAAAGTGCCATCGACATAGCGTCTCGTGAATCTTCAGCCTAAAAAGGAAGAGACCACACTACTTTGACAGACACGGTTAACTTTTGAAAGGTGGATAAAGTCAACCACTGGATAATGATTTTTTTAACCGTCGTAAAAATGTTTTAAAAAGCATATGTCAAATTTATAATTATTAATAACTATATATTTTAACTTCAAAATTGTGAAGTTTAATCTTTGCGATGCAGAAGGGTAAAACATTTTTTAATGTTTGAAATCATTACTATCAGGTGGATAACAACCGGCTCCTGGTCTGAGGATGATTAACGGCCCGCCATTTGGGAGAAAGATCATGCAAGATTACAAAAAAAAATACTTCAACCAAATCACTGTCATATGCATTAACAGGCAATCTTGAAAACTTGGTTTCATTCGTATACCTGGGACACTGTTAAAGGTGATTTTATCTCTTCTCCTCTCAAAACCATCGACTTCTGGGTCAGTGCATCCTCGAGATCATAAATATCCAACTGTAGTAAAGCTGCGATGTCTTCCAAAACTACACAACGAATTTGAAAGTATTCAGTTTACTTGCAACATCACCCAAATCCCAGTGGTGAAAAGTGCCTTTCTATTGCTTTCTCAGATTACATACGATACACTCAAGAACATCAATTTAAAACAAAGAAGACTTCATGGTTGAAATTGTGACATAAAGATTAGTCCCCCTAATTGCATAGGCAAGTCAATTAACTTTTTGCGGAAAAACGCCAGCACGGCACAACATTTTGTATATTCACACAAGCAATGGGCCATGGCGAAATTAAATTATAAACGCTTTGGCATAAACTGTATAAAATGTACCAAGTGCATTACTGTATTTGAAACGTACCAAATTTTTCATTGATCTGAGCGCCATTTCCTGAAATAAAGGTCACGTTTCCCAAGTTAAGGATACCGGCTAAAACCTGAAGAACGTCCGAAATGTTTTCATCTTTAAACCTCATTACTCTCATCGCTTCCTATAAACGAAGGTTATGAAATTATCAATAAGAGGTTCATGGTGATAGACTTTTCGACCACAGAGCCTCGCTCTTATGGTTTGCGAACAACCCGCCGAGTTGCGTACGTTACTCGCAATTTAATGTAAGATTTATTTGCATAAGCATAAAGCAGTTTATTTAGAGAGCGTATTAGAACAGCAAATGAACAACCTCGCAAGTGAGTTATGGAGAGCATGCACGCTCTGGTCAAATTTTGCGAAGGGAAAGTAACCATGGGTTCTGATAAGAAAAATATTCTCCCTTAATTTTCGTAGCGAGATCAAAATGTACCGAATATCGTGGATTGACCATGGATAGCCCAAGATGATATTCCACGTGTATCTAATTTATGATGTGCTTAATGTAAAACATCGCTCACCAGAACCCTGAAGAAGTCATTCTTGTCGTCAATCGATGGGTCGTTGATACATCCACTTTGATTAAGATAATGATACTTCTCAGCAGGCAACAGACGGAGCTCATCTGAAGAAAAACAAACACTGTTGGCTTCAAAACTCATTTGGGATACTTTATATGTAGTAAATTGTCATGTATTGTCTCTGCAATAATAACTTATCACATAATTAGTCCTCTGCCTTGGGTAGGAATGACGTTTTAATCAAGAGATTGCTACAAACCCATGGAAATTTACGCCCTTAGGAAATGACCTACAGATTTAATTTTCTATAAATAATTCTTTAGCGCTACTTTAAGTTGACTTTTACTTAATAATTTTGGCCACCAAAAAACCCCCTACACATCTCAAATTCAAGCCAGAAAATGTGTCAACTATATATGTATGATTCCTGCAGGAAAACCGATAGTTGACACATTTTTCACAACTGCATGTTCGTAAATTTGAGATGTGTGATTTCCTCTTAACCTACATGAGTGAAGTGCCACAAAATCGTAAATGATTTACTAAATTGGCCAAAGGCTACAAATACGAACTATATGACGTTAAAGTAAAGTAAGTAAAGTTACTTTTTTCATTCTCCGAGACGCCAGCAAGTAAGGCGTAAAATATGTGATAATTTCTTTCATCTGGATTTTGCCTTGCTAAACGATTCTAAACAATGAAAGGAATGGAGTAAGACGTGAAAAACACGCGTGTCTAATATTTATATTCTGCACTCAATTGTGCTTATATCTGTGTCACCCGCTGTTCTTGCAAGGGTCTAATGTCATCTAATAACAAATGAGCAGATGAATAAAAAATTATCTAGACGAAACAACTCGCTATTAAAACATACATTTATTGAAATGCGTACACGATGTGGTTAATAATGGTAATAGTTTTCATGAGCTTTCTATCATTTTCAGTGTTCATTAGACTCTAATCGTAAAAGAATACTTTTGAAAGAGGTAATTTTTGTAACTCTAATTATAGTAATATTGCCAGTCTCTTACCTTTTCTAACAGAACTAAGATTTAAATATATGAAATATGATGTCAAGGAAGCTGTACAGACGTTGTACATGTACTGTACCTTCGCATATACTATAAGCTATACCAAGTTGTATTATTTTATAAATCAAAAATCATCAATCAGATGTATGCACGCATAGCAATACTGAATTATGGAAGATTGAACCTTTGTGTTCTCTACTTCATGTGTGAAACAATAAAAATACATTTCACATGCAGGTATTAAAACAGGCAATTCGACACAAACTGCGTATGTTGGACGTACAGTATTTGAATACAAAAAACTTCAATAGCTCAACCTAATGCTCTACATTACAAGCTATCCAAAACTATTATGTTGGGAGATGTAAAGCAAACTAGTATGCGGCACATTGTATATCTTTATACGCTTAGCTGCATGGACGAGGGATTAACAAAATTCTTGTAATTTTAATTTTTTTTAAAAGGATACAGTCCGATATTTTACCACCAACGATTCTTCCTCTCTCGTTAAAAAACAACTGAACAAATTTTCCGAATCTACTGGAATTGTTGTTATAGACAGTCTTGGCGTTTCCGAAGGCTTCCAGTATAGGGCTGAATATTAAAAAAGCAACAGTAAGAGATTTATATCGTTGTGAACAAATACGTGTACTAAAAAGATCACCTGCAGATTAATTTAATTGTGTAGTCCTTTCGGTGGAAAAGCGCCTTGATGTAGACGGCCATATTTTAAATTACTATTGTCATACAGAAAACACACACGGGCTAAAAACGGTTTGAGCCTTCAAGCATATGAAACATGACAACACAAAATATTTAACCGTGGGAATGCACAAGTTTTATAATTATGATAACCCGTAGAGCGAAGGAAATTTAGTATTTGTACTTATTGTATTTATACTAATAATATGTACGGTGAAAGAAAGGCACCTGCTTTTAAGGATGGCATCCTCTACATTCAACGTATTATCGACCTCTCCTCCACCTTGCACTGAAGAACTGAGTTCTGATAAATAATTCAACATAAATTTCGTGGATTCTGTCTTTCCTGCACCAGATTCACCACTGGCAAACGAAATGAAAATGAAAATAAAAATGAGTGAACTCTATTGGAGCTGTTAAGAGGAGCTAGAGCGAATGTAAAAATGAAAATATTTGTTTCAAAAAGAACTTAAAAATCCCGATATGATTCACCATGCATTCTTTTGCTTAAGTGCAGTTGTTTTTGTAATTTCAAAACATTTATAATTCATTATAGCTATTTCACAGACTGAGTCCTAAAACTTCCACAGCAAAATACATTATTTAATAGCAGTTTCTCATAAAGCTTAAACTTATATATAAACTTTTTATCATATTTTCACATATTAAACATTTAATTCGGCCTTTAGAAATGAAAGCACCGTAATGCAAAATGACGTTTTTATGAAACATGGTAAGAATATCATAAGGGCGATTCTCTGGTCACACACGTGACAATGCTATTCTATTTTGTTACATGTAAAAATATGAGGCCTGAAGAAACAGCAATGTCACGTGTGTGACCAGAGAGAATCGCCCAATCACCCGAGCTAAAGAAGGAAAATAATTTCTATACCTTATCAGAACGCACTGACTCTGTCCTTTCTTGATCATTGAATAATAACATTCGTTAGCGATTGCAAAGATATGCGGTGGCTTCTCTCCCAAATGACATTTGCTGTATTCTTTCATGATATCTGTCGTGTAAAAATCTTTAATTTGCCGGTATGGATTAACGGCTGACAAAATGGAGCCAATGTATGTCTGAAAGATATAGAAAACATGCAAAATGTGTGTGTTGAAAAAGCCCGTTCATACACTGCAGAAGTACTGTATATATATATATATATATATATATATATATATATATATATATATATATATATATATATATATATATATATATATGTAATTTTGCTCTCAATTGAGCCATGTGTTCACTTGTGGATATATATGTAAGGTGTATTTGTTCTTCTGCACAAGTATAACCAACCGGGCAAGCAGAAAATTCTACTTGACCGCGGTGGGAATCGAACCCGCGACCTTCGCATTTCTAGAACGATGCTCTACCGTCTGAGCTACAAGGCCAAGTTGGGAACGACTGTGATTTTACTTAAGTTGTTATTGACAATGCGGAGTTTCGTCCTTTTACATGTCGTTATGCAGTTACTTCTGCAAATGTTGATATATTTGTAATTTTGCTCTCAATAGTAACTGCATAACGACATGTAAAAGGACGAAACTCCTCATTGTCAATAACAACTTAAGTAAAATCACAGTCGTTCCCAACTTCGCCTTGTAGCTCAGACGGTAGAGCATCGTTCTAGAAATGCGAAGGTCGCGGGTTCGACCCCCACCGCGGTCAAGTAGAATTTTCTGCTTGCCCGGTTGGTTATACTTGTGCAGAAGAACAAATTCACCTTACATATATATATATATATATATATATATATATATATATATATATATATATATATATATATATATATATATATATATATATATAACAACGCCACAATCTGAAAAAACTCAAAACAACACGCAGTTTGGGGCTGTCATTTTTTTAATATGACTTTGATATGAAATGTACAATTACAATCTCCGTCTTGTTTTGAAAGATATAAACCGCTAATTTCAAGTGACTTGATACTTCGCTCTTTTTCGCTTCCGCCTTTTGGGATGCAACTGGAGCAATGCGGGTTACATTTTCGCTTGTGTTTTCAGATGATTTTTAAAATTCCAAGGATTTGTGAGTGCCAAACAAGATGGAAGAAGAAGAAAAGAAGAAACTTTATTTAAAGAGCATTGATTACTGTGCGGAATTGTTTTTCGATGGGTGAGTCAAAAAAAGTCCCCCCTATTGAAATGAAGCTTTGTTGATTTGAAATGCAGTAGTGTGTAAATAGCTTATTAGGTTGAGGCATCGCGCTTTCGGCATTAAGGTTCAGATTCTAACAAGGCTTTATTTCAATAGAGGGGACTTTTTTCTGACTCACCCTGTATTTAGATTTAGCTTATATACTGTATTGTAATCACTAATCTGTGATTGTAGTGCACATACTTCCCTGTTAAATTCTTAAAAACATTCATTAAAAGCTAATTTACTGAATTACTGAAGCTTAACGATAATCCTATTAGCAAGCATACGGCGTCGCTACTTCTTTCGTTTAAAGTCGGGCGAAACATTAATTAATGCATACGCAACAAATGCATAAAATAGAAAAACAAAGATAAAATGCTCTAGAAATTGTTCTTTAAGAAGCAATAATTTACATAACTGTAAAATGTGCGGTAATAAAACGTAGTTATAGGAGTTTTATTGCACAAGCGGTCTTAGGCCCAGCTGCAGCGAAATCCAGAATGGACTACCGCTAAGACAAAATTAAGAGAAGACCGAAATCCAAGGCTACAACTCGAAAGAGTTTGTAGCAAAATGTCGTACTGTAACATGTCAGAAAAATATGCGGTTGATAAATCTCGTAGCTAAATTTTTCAGGAAATTGACGAAATTCGTACTTCTCGCTTTAAAATAATCAAATTTTAGGCTAGGCCTATATCTGGAGTCGTCTGTATATAGTTATATATAGCTATAAGGTTTTTGCTTCTCCGAATAGCTAGATTCCGCGTAGGAGGAAACAGATGTAAATGCTGATAAATTGCACAGTGCAAGATGAGATACTTGTACAGTATGTAGTCATATGCAAATGGTGTAGACTATAGTATTGCAAAGCAGGTTTATGTATTACAACAAGAGACAACAAACTAGTCGGAATCCGTGAACAGATCAAAGGTTATGTTTAAACATAAAATTCTTACGTATATTTGATCCTTCTTGTATCTGACATGAAGGTTATGTAATATCCCAGCTTCATGAAGATCCTCCAAATGTGCCATGTCCTCCACACCTTCCACGCTGCTGCTGTGCATGATAGACGCATTTTCTCGGGAAAGCGAGCTGTGATCCTTGGTGATCGCCTATAATCATTAATCAGTGTAGAAAATGTTACATAGTTGTAATACGAACAAAATACATGCAATAGACGCTTCACGCTTAATTGATCAGAACAGTACTACAGGGAACTTCAGTAGGGAACCGAAATTTGCTATTCCTATAGTAATAACAGGTATGTTAAACGGTAACACAGACAGCCGCAATAACCCTCGCAAGTGCTGAAAAAAATGTCCAAGTATTTTCAAGAAAATCATCCGCGTTTGGGCTCTTTTAATATGCTGCACATCAATTATGTTAAAAAGTATTAGTTGAGATCAGTGATAAACAAGCTCCAAGCACTGACTTAGATTATATACATACTCACATAAGGCATTGCATAACAGCATAAGGTGTAATTCCTGTTGAGACTGTTTGTATTTTTGTACTATACCCAGTTTGGTAAATATTACCAATTTTTTACTTCATTCTCCTAACCCACAATTACCTAAGATACCACAATTACCTATGTCAGAATTACCTACCATTTCAAAACATTATTAAAGTTTTATTTAAAACAATCAAGAGCCAAAATTCTTGTTAGGTTTAAATGGCCAGGCTACAATACTAACAGCTTTTAATTGACAGAGTCAATGAAACTTACAGGATGAAATTTTGTTTAACAACTGAGCAACAGTGCAATAATTAACTTTAGTATACACCCGACTATTGTCTTTTACAAATCCTACATTCTGATTGGCAACTCAACCAGTGTCTATTTGTGATGGTAAAAGTTTGGGGAAAATTTGCTCGCGCGACCGTATAAAATTGAATTAATTAAATTATTTTTTCTGTGTAATTGCGGTGTAAATAGATGCAAGATAATTTACTAGGACTAGTTGCATAAAGAGTCAGTTAATTGGCCAATCAGAATTGTGCATTTCTAAGTTAACTAACTTTAAATAATTAAAACTACATGCAAAATGCATATAAATAGGAATTCTACAGACCTTTGTAAAAAGCCTACATTACACTTGACATATAGGATAATTACCAATGGCAATCAGGAACAATATACTTCATCCACAAATATGCACACAGCTCAGAATTTAAATAATAAGGTCTATAAACATTCACCCAAGGGAAATACTCTTGTATTTCTCATCTCGCCATAATATTTTAAACTGTATTTTACACGCTAATAGAACAAAATGAATTATGGATAAATGGTAACTTGATAAATCTGTCAAGCAGTTTCCCTGTTAAGAATAAAGTAATTATATATATATACCTATTCTTTGCAGGCCCTAACATATATACCATAAAGTTCTATTCGAGACAAGTTATTTTCATACAATATATTTGGTGTCTGAGTAGTTTATCTGTAATACTTCCTTTTTCCTATGCTTACATAATGAGACCAGGCCTAACGTGATTAATAACTTAGAAATAGTCACAAGAACAGAGTAAAGGGCCATTGCAGAATAATGAAATTTAATATTTCAGGAATGTGGATTTTGAGTTATTTACCTAACCACTTCTGATTTTTTAGCATGAACACTGATGTCAAGCCTAATTGCCCTTTCAAAAACACAAATGAAGAATTCTTCAATCCTTTTCTGGGTTTAATTTTTGGTCAATTGTCGTGATTGATAATTGTAAAAGAACTAGGAAAGCCCGTTCGTAATTAGATAGCCAATAGCAGCGTTTTTAATATACTTGGTGTATCGCGCGGAAGTGAAATTCTGTTCCGACAACGTGCTATTGGAGAAAACAAAACGTGCAAATATTAATTTCAAAACGTAAACACAAAAGGTCTCCACCTGTTAGCGCTTTTCCGACAGGATCAGACAGATATCAATTCATACCTTTTGTTTCTGCACACAAGAAAGTCTAATGCAGCCAAGGGAAAGGACAAAGAGCGCATTTGCCGGGAATACATATACTAATACAACTAAATTCCCCTAACATCACACTTTGAAAGAAAATATACTCACGCAAAGTATGTCATTTCATTATACTATGCGACCCTAGCGTGTATATATACACACCTTGCCATATTCGGTTCGAAATGTCACTTTCCCATCTTGTACTGTCTCTACCACAGAGGGCAACCATTCCTTGTTGTCTAAGACCCAAACGCGACTGCCCTAAATTTTCGAACAAGTTTAAAGACAGCTATTGAGAACACGCCGGAAAATGTCTTCTATATTGAACATGTTTAAAATAATAAAACGATAACGAATATTCACACCGGCAGTATAAACTCTCATACAAAATAATATCAATCCAATTTAATTTTAGGATCATACCACTTCAAAGAACGATTCCATGGCCGTTTACAACGGCAAACTGTCCCAAATTTGCCAATATTTCACCCTTCCAAATTTTATACACACGATTTGAGGCTTGTTGCTTGTTACTGCAATTGGAATCTACAGGAAATGCATCAGAACTTCCGTTCTCGCAAAGCTCGCATTCCAGTTAAGTGACCGGAACAGCTGCAGTTCAGTAGAATTTCGATTCCTCTGGCGAAACGAAGGCTCTGGAACAGCTGGTTTAGGCTCTGGGATAGCCAGAAATCCTAGCTTCTTGTTGTAACGGTTTTTTGTATTTCAAAATTGAAACGGCGTGAACGACCAACAAAATAATTTCTGATTTCGATTATCCCAGAGGCCTGGACCTGGTCTAGGCCACAAAATCCCCGGCCAGCCCAACAGCAGAAGGTGGCCAGGACGGCCTGCACCTGACCGAGGGCAAGATTTTGGTATATGAACAGGCTATACCAAGTCACAAGTTTTGAACTTAATAGTGTGATTTGTATAGGATCCATATAGTATTACCACTTTTCGGCGTGTTTTGGTCCTGTTCCAAGTATTTTGTCAATTACTTTGGCTATCCGATATCATCAATAAGGATTAAGGAAGACAGTGTGAATGTAGTACATATTACCTAGACTTGCCCTAGACCTCGTCCAGGTCAGGTCTAGGCCTGAAGTGTAAACGCGGCTATACTAACTATAAGAATAGGGGATCCATTGTATTACTTTTCGATTGTATTCAAATTATGAATAAATTTGAAAGTTGTTTTTATCCAGCGCTTGTGTATACATATAGTAAAATTGAATCTAGTGAAACTGTGAAAGCAGAGATACCGAACGAGAAACCGTGTTAGACCGTGTAGTCGTGTACTGAAAACGTCCATGCCACGGTAAGTAAAATTGAACTTTTTAATCTTTTATTTTAAACCACGTGATCAAAAACAACCAATCAAAAGACATATTTTAATATTAAAATAAGGGCTCTTACACAAACAATGCATAAAGACGCCTAACACCCTAACACCCAAAATTGAAAAAGATTTGCTTTCAAATTGCCTTTTAATTGATCAAAAAATATATTGGTATATGACGGCAAATAGTTGCATAGTAATATAAGTTGCATATAAGTTGCATTCATACTAAAAAAAGCTATTTCCAAAGAAAGTCAACATTCCTTCGCCAAACACGAATGCTAACAAGACGACAGTATTGCATAGAAACCGTTTGCATGCGTTAATCATGCATAGAAATTGTAGACATAGAATGCGTGCTTGGTCGCGTAACCAATATAACTTTATATTGGTCGTGTGGCCAAAATAATCTTAACATTGCCGTTCGTCTTGCGAAAAAGTCAAGTCCTTATCAGTAAATCGGCCATTTTGAATAGGTAATGTGGCTTCAATTTGTTCACTGAGAAGGTACAAAAGGACGCATTCTATGTCTATCATTTCTATGGTTGTAAGTCTAGCAAACTTTTGAATACCGTGTTGTTGGCCCAAAAATGTTGGGGCTAGGGTCAAACCCGCCAAGGGTCGTAAGGATGTTGGTGTGTTTGGGAAAAGCCCGAACGCCAAGTTGTCAACCGTATTGGTGTAAATCATCAAGAGTACCAGTTGATTTAGCTTTTGTACATCCTTACACATGCCACCTAGTGCATGTCTATCATCTCGTCTATTGACGAAAAAAAATTGAAAAAAACAAACCAGGCCAATGATATGATTTTACTAGCCATTTGCATACATGTATTTATAGCAAGCGAAAACCTACAGGCCCTGTTCGGAGGATATCCAACAAGATTCACTTAAATGGATAATAGTCCGTAAAGATTCAGTGGTGTAAAAAAATATAACGCATTAAATCGCGACTTGGTGGTAAAGACAACAGCATAAGGGAAACTCGCATAAACGGTATTTCTAGAGGTTTGAAGTATTTCTTCTTTCTCTTTAAGAGTGGGAAGGACTTTATGCCTACTAAAATATATAGGAAAGTTCTTTGCTGACAAAAATATTTTATATAGAATATTGAATCAAAACTTCACTAGGAAAACCTTGTGTTTGTTATAGCATATGGTAGGTTCAGTGCATGGTTAACAATTTTAATCATTTTATGGCTGTTAGAGGAAACGATTAACTATTTTTGTTTAAATATGTAATACTGACTAGCGGTTTAAAGTTATTAGTGGTTTCTGTTTTTACAACTTATCTACACTTCATCAAACAACGTTTATATATAAATCAAATATAGACAATATAGTCTGCGATCATAACGCTATTTCAGTATTATATGAACATGAGAGCAGTATTCTGCTTTTTCTCTGCAAGTGGAAACCCAGCCAATAAGTAAAAGAACAGAGCTTGAACTAGGTGGCTTAATTATAGAGTAATTAAAAATGGCGTTTTTTTATACCCGTTTTCTCTAGTGGGCGTGAGCGAAATTTGACCAACTGAGCAGCTAAAAAACTGACGTTTGTTGCGACAGAAACAATCGCCCATTATAAAATTATTTTAGAACTCTGCTATCGATAAAGCATTAAAGTGTAAACTTTTTGATGAGAAAGAAATTTGGATAAGTTTGGGGTCGTCGAACTCCTTTGCGATGATAATTAAACACTGTATTTGGCAACCATTTTGAAAAATCTCTATAGCTTTACTCTTTCAGAAATGTTGCCTGACTATAAAAAACATGATCGCTCTCAAAAAATTGTCTCTCTTACTAACTCGTACCTTGAGATTCTAGGTCTAATTTTGTTTGTGTTTTTACTTTGTAAATTTCACACTTTTCGATGTCGGTATATGGGTTGATCTGTTGATCTGTATAAATACGTTATTTATCAAATACTGCATGAGTATTCACAAAACTCAAAATTCACAAAAAGACCTCGGTCCGATATTTCTCGGTAAAGACCTCGCGTTCGGTTAATAAGAAGTTAGTATTATACGCGAGGGTCCTCGGTGCGACCAAGCCTATAGGCGGTATTTTTTGCAGGAATCGAGCTATCCTAATACCAGTGCTTTCCAAAATCTTGGTTTTTCAGACAGGTTTCGAAAATTTCAAGAATTAGTTTCTTTCATAGAAGCCAAATTCTCAAATTTAATAGCTATCTACATAGGTGCCGGATTTGTTTGTAACAATTACTCACATGCAAAATCACAAACTGAGATAACAAAACCTTAAAAATAGAGCTGATAAAAATATAAAATTCGAATCCAATATATAAATCTAATATCTATCTTGGCTGAAAAGAAGTGCTTTCAACAAACTTTTAATAGCTCTTATCGCAAGTTGTAGCAGGACGCTCGCTAAAAATGCTAAAACGCTCGAGATTCTCTATTGACATGCAAAGGTAAATTGAAAAAAATTCTCCCATAACTCAGTTTAAAAAGTGCACCTTTTCTTTACGCAAAATCGATTTCAATCATGCATTTTATTATTCACTATATATAAAATTTACGTTTTGACTGGTTAGCCACCTACAAATAATTTCTGGTATTCGTAACCATGACGTCAAATTGACAAATACAAATTTCTGGTATTCTGTAATTGTGATCTAATATCTAGAAATAATAGTTTTTTTTTTAAATTTCTACAATTGTTGGAGCCAGCACTGAGCCAGTTTTAAAAAATCAATAATAATAAAATAACTGTTGGTATCTGAAGGTAATTATTAGATTTCAAACCTGCGATCAGGCTGGACTTGAGGGTTGAATCAATGTTTTTTTAGCTTGAATGTAAATTTGGGGCTTGAAGTTGAATGGGCCTTGAATGCAAAAGTGTTTTCTTGAATATAGATCATATTTTTGTTGAATGTGCGTCAAATGCTTGAAAATGGATAAAAGTTTATGTTAAATATGAATGTTAACTGTTAAATATGAACCAAAATTCTTTGTTGAATTTGTTGAAACAATTCGCTAACCATAATAGAAAGGTCAGTATTTTTGTACGGTAGGAGTGGTTCCATCACTTCCATGCACCAGTGAAATTTCAGCTCCAACCCTATCGCAAGGTGTATGCCGGCAACGTTGTACTACGCTGTGCTACCTTTCTGCACAGTCTGCTACCTTTATGTACGCTTTGCTAGCTTTATGTGACGCTGTGCTAGCTTTGTGCGACACTGTGCTAGCTTTGTGTACGGTGTGCTAGCTTTGTAAACGATGCATGTGCTAGCTTTGTGTACCTTGTACTGGCCTTGTGTACGACGTGCTAGCTTTGTGTGACGTTGCACTAGCTTTCTGTACGCTGTTTGTGTAGGCTGTGCTAAATTTGTACACAGCTGTGTTATATTAGCAAGCGGTGTGATACATATTGATATTTATGTACGCATTGTGCAAACATTGGGAACACAGTCACCGAACACTGTGCTATATTCAAGGGTTAGAGACTGTTGTAAGTGTTTTGTCCACAAATAAACGCACGCACTGACCATACAATGAACTAGAAATTTCAATATTACAATTTTGAGTTCATTGTATAGTCAGCAAGTGCGTTTATTTGTTAACAAAACACGAACATAAAGTCTCTAACACTTTTAATATACAATCTGAGTTTATTGATTCCTACATTGAAGATCCAAGCTTCGTTTCAGGTTATTGCGAATAAATGCCCATGATCTGTCGCCAGGCAACAAGAAACCACGTGATTGATTTTGACCATGCAATCGCGTGATAGATTTAGGCCAATGCACGAAGATTGTATATTAATTCATAATATTGAATTGTGCGTCCGTGCTGTTCGGCATACTGATGCCGCTTTATAGATAACAGGGTGACATAAAAACGATATGTCCCACTACAATAACTATGATGTCACTGATCTCGCTTTTTGTCCCGCACTCCCGCTCCAGAAATTCAAGATGGCGGCCACGTGATTGTGTAAAAGCAGCTAAATCCCGAAACTTTACAGTTGACGCCATCTTGAATTTGGCCGCGGAGAGGCGTGGATACTAGTAAGGGTTAGGGTTAGGGTTAGGGTTAGGAAGTAAACTTACTAGTATCCATGCCTCTCCGCGGCCAAATTCAAGATGGCGTCAACTGTAAAGTTTCGGGATTTAGCTGCTAGTTGATTGTGTTGACAACCAAAATTGATGTTTACTGGTTCAATTATAGTGA